TCATCAAAGGAAGCTCATCCTCAGCAAAGAGGACCTTCTATCCACACTGCCCAATACTGTAACCCTTAGCCTTCGAAATGTGCCTAGTGTGACTGCAGAACAGTATTTTGAATTTCATTTAATTTTGATTAGTTAAATAACCCAATGCAGTTCACGGCTGCTCTGTTCCAGAGCATAGTTCTAGAACCACAGAAATCTGGCTGGGAATTTCCACACTGAGTCTGAGATAGGACCAATGACTCAAATAACAGGTGAGGGACTATGAGAATCTACCTTAGTTATATCAATTTGATTGGCTTAAGGAAACACCCCGGGAATCCTGAAGTCCACTTCGGGGTGTGCCTGGGTGGCTCACAGAGGTGCTATGCTCCAGGCATGTACTCTCGCTCTGCTTCTCAGCATCCATCAACTAAGCAGCTTTGCTCCACCATGATACCTCTGCCTGGAACCACAAATTCAATCCCTTGAAATCATGTTAAAGTTAAATCTCTCCTGTTTTTAAGCCATTGTTTTCAGGTATCATGTCTCAGCAACAGGAAAGCTTATTCACGTAGGAACCAAGTAGTCAAAACAATGTGAGAAAGAGAAAGGTAAAGGCCTCACCCTTTCTGATTTCGAATTATATTACAATGCTACAGTAATCAAAGCAATCTGGTGCTGGCATAAATACACGTATTGATCAATGGAACACAGTAGAGAGCCTAGAGAAATATCTATGCACATATTGTCATCTGATCTTTGACAAGGGTGCCAAGAATTGACAATATAAAAAAAATAGTCTCTTCTACAAATGGTGTTAGGAAAACTAGATATCTACAAGCAAAGAATAAAATGATCCTTCATCTCCCACTATACCTAAAAATCAAGTAAAAGTTGATTGAAGATTTAACCCTAAAATCTGAAACCATAAAATTCCTAAAAGAAAATACAGAAAAAATCTTTCTGGCACTGGTTGTTGCAATAATTTCTTGGATATGACACCAAAAGCACAAACAACAAAAGAAACACTGGACCACTGTGACCATATCAAACTAGAAAACTTTTGCGCAGCAAAGGAAACAATCAACAAAATAAAAAGTCAACTGCAGAATGGGAGGAAATATTTGCAAACTGTATATATGATAAAAATTAATATCTAAAATATAAAAGAACTCCTATAACAATAGCAAAAATGAGAAATAACCTGATTTTAAAAGTAGATTAAAGATCTGGATAGACATTTCTGCAATAAAATAATATAAATGCCCAGCTTTCTCAGGTATATAAAAAGTTGTTCAACATCATCATCATCAAAATGCAAATAAAAACCAAAATGAAATATCATCTCACAACTACTGGGATGACTGTTACCACAAAAAGAAGAATAAACATTTTTGGATATTTAGAAAACCCCAATATACTGTTGGCAGGAATTTAATTTGGTACATCCATTGTGGGAAACAATATGGAGGGTCCTCAAAAAATTAAAAATAGAACTACCATTTGACCAAGGAATCCCATTTCTGGATATGAGCTGAAGTTAGGATCTTACTTCATTGCAGTATTATTCACAATAGCTAAAACACAGAGGCTGCCTAAATGTCCATTGGTGGATAAATGGTTAAAGAAAATGCAGTATATAGATGGAATAGAATAGTATTCAATGTTTTCAAAAGAAGAAAATCATGTGAGTTGCAAGAAGATTGACGAACCTGGGGGACATTATGCCAAATGAAATAAGCCAGACACAGAAGGACAAATACTACCTGATCACACTTCCATGAGGGATCTTAATGTCAGAGAAATAGAATACATAATAGTAATTGTGGGGGGGGGGGGATATTGGGAAAAGGCCATAAAATTTCAGTCATGTAAGATAAGTAAGTCCTAGCTATCCATGCTCTATTGTTAACCATACTACATTACAAACTTAAAATTCTGCTGAGATCTTATGAAATTTTTGAGGGTGATAGATACATTTATGACACTGATTGTGGTGCTGGCTTCACAGGCATGTATTTATTGCAAATTCATCGATCTGGATATGTTAGGTATGTGCAGCTTTTTGTACAGCAGTATCTCAGTAAGTGGCTTTATCTAAGATGGATCAGAAAGCCTTCATAGAATGTAAAACTGCTGCACATCCAATGCTTCCAGGACACATTTATTTCTTACAGCTACACAGTGTCCTTGCAGTGGTCAGCAGTGTGATCCCTGCTTTCCGATAGAAGCCTAGTCTCAGCAAGATTATTGGGTTTGCCCAGAGCCTTGCTTCTGAGGGGTGGGGCCAGGTGTCCATCACCAAAGCTTGTACTCTTGTTCACTTCTTCCTGCCAAGGCCTATCATCTACGGTATCTTAACATTTCTTCCTCGTCTGCCTTTTCTGAATATCCTAAAATCCACGAGGGGTTGTTTGTGTGTTTTTGTTTTCTGGAGTGGGTGTAGATGTTGAGAAACAACCAAGTTATTTGATGCTTAGTGTCCATTTTGTACAGTGAAGACAAATATGCTTTGGCCAGCATAAACTGTTTTCTCTATTTCATCAAAGTGGAAGCTTGAGAACAATGCCAGGGCAGAGCAAGCAGGAATCCATACGTGCTGAGTAACTTACTAGGAAAGTTCAAACACACCCTTCTGAGAGTTAAAGGCATCGTAGTGCAGTGACACTTATATAAGTATTATTTTATAGCAATACAATTCATAATAGCCTATATGTCCATCAAAAATAGATGGCTAAAGAAAATAGGGCGTTTATATGCGATGGGGTATTACTCAGCCATAAAGAAGGATAAATTTGAGCATTTGTAGGAAAATGGAGGTGCCACGAGATCATAATGCCAAGTGAAATAAATATGATGCACAAGTTTAAATATAGCATGGTTTCTCTTATATGGGGAACCCAAAATATAAATAAATTGTAGAAAAAAGTTTGAGATAGGAAACAGAGAGATGGACACCTTTTGCAGCTAAGAGGTGTGCTATGTATATGTACTAAATTCCCACAATGAAGGCAGTCATTATGTACTACAAACGTACTAATAAAGACTTTTTAAATTAAATAAATAAATTTTTCTTTATTGGATATGGTCAGTTAAAATTTGATGTCATAGTTCCTCTGGTCCTCAGGGAGCTCACGTGGCACCACCAGTAGAGTCATTCAGAAACCCCAAATGCTTCTGTGGTTAAGCAGGCAGGAGATGAAGGAGAGAGGAAAATAAGGCTCACCGAACCTTGTCTGCAGTATGGAGAGTGGAAAGTGCCGCGTGTAGAGAGCAGCTTGCAAACTCTGTGCAGGTACTGGGTTGGTCAGCTTGTCCCTCAATTTCCTGTCTACCCTCTGTCCTGTCTGCAAGGAACTTTCTGAGAAAGCCCCCTCCCGCTTAAAAAAAAGTTGTTCTGCGCCTTGGGATGTACTTGATATCAGGCCAGAATAACTCCAAAAATAGTTAATCCTAGTGCAACCCCTTGGATGTGGGCGGGAGCCCATGTTGCCACGAGCACTCAGACCTCTACACCGGCATCTAATCTAACTTTTCCAGCCTCGGGCACCTATCTGGGGGAGTGATCCTGAGCACAATCTTACACAACCAAACCATTGGGTGCCTAATAATACAAATGAGCTGGTGAATGTTGGTGGGTGCCAGAGTTGCTGTGACCAATGGGTCATGGGCATAGTTTCCTCTCATTTTCTTGGGGTTAAGGCAAAATTAATGGTCTCCAGCCCTCTTAATTTCAAAACTCTGCTAAAATGCGTTCTTGAGCAACAATCACCAATTAGCTCTCACGATCTGGGGTAGCTTTACTGCCTTGCTTCCATTAGAAAGCAAATGAAATTAAAAACTACAAACCACACATGTGCAAAGTTAGCAAAATCCTGTCCAGGAGAGTTTGTCTCTACAGCGCATCGGTTTCCCACAAGAGAACGCTGCGCTTTACGAACCGCAGGGATAGCTTTCTCGAGAGCGGGCAGGATTTGTCCTCCCGTAGGAAGGCGTCCACATCGCCATCCACCGGCCTCGAGCAGGTGGCCCAGACAGCGGGCGCCGCCGCGCACCCAGAACCGAGTTCCCGGGACCAGACCGGCACCGCCTGGCTCGCGCCCCGCCCAGCCCGAGGGCTCTGCGCGCTGAAGGGCTCGTCCGGAGGGCGCAGCTGGGACCCTGGTGCTGCCCGTGGATTCTGGGGCCTCTGAGAAGCGAGGAAGGCCGGCTTCAAATCAGACTCTGCTCCTGCCCCTTCGGGGCCACGGGGACCGTTCCCAGGTGCCCTTCCATCCTTTTCCCCTCCCGAACCAGGAGCAGAACTGCCCCTGCCCAGGACCGGACCGGAGCCCGCCAAACCCCAGACGCTCTAAGTGTGCGCGCCCAGCGGAGGCTGTGCCTGGACGGATACCCACCCGCCCGCCCGCCGGCTGCCGAGAGAAAGTTTGCAGGCTGGGGACCCCCACAGCCCCCGCGCGCTGCCAGCGCTCAGGGTGATCCCTGGCTGCAAGGAGTCGCCAGGCGGCCGAGCGCAGGTGGAGCGGGAACCGCCTGGAGACTGGCGCGCGCCTGCAGAAGAGCTTCCGTCTGGGGCGGGCGAGGAGGCTGCGCAGTCTGTCCAGCTGCGAGGCGCCCGGAGGAGGGCGCAGAGGGTGAGCCCGGGGCCGAGAGGAGCGAGGTCCCGACGGCTTCACCCGCAGCCTTCCCGGGCCCCGCGCGGCCCAGCCCACCAGCTGCGTGCAGGGAGCCGGGCAGAGGGGCGCTGTGCGCGAGGGGTGTAAGGTGCCTGCTGATGAGAACGGGACCCCAGACCCGGTGGCCGGCGACGCTGACGGACCCCCTGCCCACGCATGACCCGTGATCGCGCGCCCCGGACCGGCTGCAGGGCGCTGAGCGCCGCACCGCGAAAGCGGAGCTCACCGACGGCCAGGGAAGGAGGTGGCACCGGGGAGGAGGAAGGAGGGCGGGAAGGGTTCGCTGAATTGGACTCAGGAGCCCTGCAGCCCGTCTGCGGGGGGAGTGCGCGCTGTGGCTCTTACCCGCTTGGGGGCCCCGCTTGGGCGGTAGCGCTCTTCCGGAGCAAGGCCAGGGCACTGCTTCGTGAACATGCCTGGCTTAATCCTGTTCTCTCCAATCTTGGTCGCTTTTCTCTCCTCTACGTGTCCCTGGGGGAGGCACTTAAGGATGACTTTCTCTTCTGTCAGGAAGAGACAACTTGTACTTGCAGGGACAGGAGCTTCATATTTTATCTGTTCCACAGATCCCACCCGCGGACCACTCCTTCCCTCCCTTCCCTCACTCACATCTCGGGCCCTCCCCATAATAACCCTTGATGACAGATCCTCTACCCCACCCACCCCCACTTCAAGGAAGTTACTCTTCAGAGGCAAGCAGAAAGCCGAGAGTCTGCAGAACTCCCCCAAGATCTTACACAACAGGGCAGCAGAAAAGGACAGGACGGTTCATTTGGGCTGTGTAAGGGAATGGTGGAGAGAAGGATTTCTTGTTTCCAAATTTTCCTTATCATATCGTACAATTTCCTCTTTGCCAGTGTAGCCAAACAAAAATCCAAATAACTGCAGACACTGACAATATTGTTACTTTTTTTTTAAGATTTAACGTTTTGAAAGCAAGTATTATTTGCACTAAGCGAATAGAAATTTGTTCTAGGTTTGGTAAAGAAACTTCATTCCCAAGACTGCCTAGGTCTTTGCCCAGGCTGCAGAGACAAGATAAAACCTGTCTGCCACCAAAATCTGATTTTTCCTCAACTAAGGAGGCAGGAAACATTGCCCATCATTAACAAACAGCCTTTTCCTAAGGCAGCATCAGGACAGCATTGGAAATACTCACACTGCGAAGACAACTTTACCTCTTGATGTTCAAGACATTTGTGTAATGTTTGGGGGAGTTTTTCTTAATAATGTTATTTTAAATCCATTTCACTCAAGATCTTAAAGAAAACTTCAAAAATTATTCATAAAGTTATAAAATAAATCTTTCTCCATCATTTACAGGAGTCACATATCATCACCAAAATATGTTTAAAATATGTTTACCTGTTCCTTGATTATTAAAAGCTTTAAATTTGTGAGATGGGGAGAGGAAATTGGTATTTTGTTTCTGAAATGAGATAGTGTGGAAAACACTGTATATGTAAATGGTTTTAAAACTGATTCTGTGTTATTCTGACATGAGACTCAGAATGCAGGATCTGACAAGTTTATAATAATTCAAAAAATGAGACTGTGTGCAGGCATCGTCCTTCACCTGCATTTTCTTTTATTTCATACCGTCCGTCCTGAGGTAGGTGCAATCACAATCTTTATGTTATAGATGAGAAAAGAGCGGGGTAAAGTTCTGTAGAGCTAGCAAGCTGCCCTGGGATTCCCTGGAGACAGCAGGATTGTATTCCTGCTAAAATGCTGCCTCATCAAAACCCCAGCCCGCCCCACCCCAAGGGTACCCAACATGAGAACCAGGAGTCTGAGAGATTCATCTGCTCCACTCTGGTAAGTTGGGTAGCCTTTCTGGGCCACAGTTAACTCAGTTTCTGAAGTGCACATTGAGGGGAGTCCGTCAGCAAGGCTTCCACAGGCATTCTGACACCGAGGATGAGTTTCTTTTTCATTTCCTTTCTTTTCCACTTTCTGCCCTCTGGTGGAGGTGGCTACAGGAACTATGAAATTAGAATAGCTAAATTAGGGGATTTGAAATAGCCAAGGAGGTTCAGTCTCTCCCTCTTCCATTACAACAGTGTTCCTCCAAGAACTAAAGCTGATTGCACTGATAGCGCGAAGTATTCCTTATATTTCTTTTGTCAAGAGAAACCAACCAGCTTTAGTTACCTACAGCACCAGAATGAACACTGAAGGCTAAGTACTCATTGCCTGATATAAAAAGCAAAGATAAATATGCATTTTTGGATTCTTGTAATGAACTTTTATAATGTAAGGAATAAAAATATTAGAAGTATCAAAACATTCATACTAATTTGAATATAGTGTGTTCACAGCAATCTTTAATGACCTATTTCAAGTGATAGCCACCTAGTTTTTAAAATAAATTACGAAAAGTAACATTTCTAAGTCTTAGAAATTTTTATTGTCTAGCATTTAAAGCATATAATCCAAGTTACAAGGGGGTCAAAATATGCAGTGAATGTTTAAAACTAAAAAACTTATTCGAGTAAAAGACACATTGCTAAGAACAATTCGATAAGTGTGTTCAAAGTGGGGAATTTTGAAGTCTGAGGTGGATAAATGGTAACATGGCTTTTACTGTAAATAGAATTTTAAACATTCACCATGTTTTTGGTCATCTCTTGTTGAGCAAACATTTATGGCAATTTCTGGCAAATAAAAACATTATTATGTGTCTCATCCACCTTACTCACTGTATCTGGCACCGTGCAATTACTGGCTCTTTTCCAATGTTAAAATGACCATAAGAGGTAAAATTGAATCCATTTAGGACATCAAAGCATGCACAACAGCAAAACTAATGACACTCATGAAGAGGACTTCAGAACTGCTTCAGAAAGCACTAAGAATGAAGGGATAACTGCTCCAATGAGGGTGTTTTGAAGAGGATAATAGCAATATGTCTTGTTGCAATAAATTTTTAAATTTAAATGTTAATCATAGGTTTTGATCATATAGATCATTTAAAAGAGATTTATGGAAAAATTAATAAACATAGGGAATATGCAATAAACATAGGGAATATTTAAACATAGGGAAAGAGCAGACTTTGGTCATATATCATACTATAAGCTAAACTAGTCCAATTTGAGAACAAGAAAGCTACTCCGTGGCTTACCTATGTACTGCTCATTTTCTCCTCAGGATTTGCTAGGTGCAACTGAACAAAAAGTCTCCTTTTCTCACACGGCCCTCATTCTGGCAGAATAAATACATCCATTACACAAATTCACTTATGTCAACTATGGAAACTACAAATAAAGTGGGAATAGCCTTAGGGAGAAAGAATGTGACTTTTTTTTTTTTAGCTCAGTTACAAAGATGCAGAATATTGAAAATAAAAGATCAAAGCACAAATCAGGCAAACTGGAAAGCTGCCTGTTGTACTGGGGAACTATAATTCATCTTACAGAAGGAAAACATACCCATACCTTCCTCTTTTCCAGCCTGGTGAAGCCGTCAATATATAAAAGTGGCTTAGTGTAGTTACATTGTTTGCCATACCTGATATTTCTGGCAAATAAATTCCGTAGTCCAGTATGCCACAGCAGTCATCTGAAAGGCAAAGAATTTCCTATACTCCTTTCACTAGGGGAAATTTCAATACAGTTTTATTTTTAGCACTCTCAGATACTTAGTGATACACAGGGCCACTGCCTGTGTGACTGCCTAAATGCCTTACCTTTGGCCAGCACCCTACCTGCTCCTCCAAGGACAGTGCCCCTCAACGATAGTGACCACATAAGCAAAATGTTAGAATCTTCAGGCCACAAGGTTTTCTGACTTGCGGATCAGACTGCAAGCAAAGCCTTAAAGTTAGGAGAGTAAGTCACATTCTACTAATACTACTACATGCCAGGCATTTCCTAAATGACACACAAAGTTTCTGTTTTCAATTTTTTTTTTTGTACCGGGGATTGAACTCATAACCTCGTGCTTGCAAGTCAGGCGCTTACACCACTGAGCTAAACCCCCAGCCTTGTTTTCAACTCTTAAATGTAGTTTCAAATAAATGAGAATTGGCCACTTCCTATTATGGAGCTTAAATACATAAAATGCTTTAGAAGAGCCACTTATTGGATGAGCACTCATTACTTCTTTACTGTCACCACTTCACAGAAGACAATTTAAGACCTCAAATCTAGGGAAGCATTAAAGCCACAACTGGAGTCCAAGGAATTTAGAACCACAGAATGACTTATTAACCCCTATCTCCATAATTACTAAAAATTTATGAAAATGCTCTAGTTTACAGTCCAGATTTTCACTGTGAATTTGTCCATTTAGCTAGAAAATATTTGTTGAGCACTGTAATGGGCTATTCTCTGACCTCAAATTCAAAGTCCTGCTGGAACCTCAAAATGTGACCTTCCCTTGTTTGGAAATAGAACTTTTGTCCAAATAATTAAGGCAGAATTATACTGCAATAGTACGGGCTTTAAATTCAAAGGGAGTGTCCTTATAAGATAGAAAAGGGCACACGGAAATACCAAGAAAGCCACGTGAAGATGGAGGCAGATACTGCAGTGGTGAAGACATGAAACACCAAGCATTGACGTGCTACAAGCAGACATGAATTGGTTTCTTCCAGGGCCTCCGGAAGGAATGAACTAGTTGATATCTTGATTTTGAACCTGTGGCATTCTGAACTGTGAGAAAAATGTTTGCGGCTTTAAACCACCTTACATAAGGCATTTATTATAGTAGTCTTAGGAAGCTAATACCAGCATCGATTAGGTGACTAATCACAGTTCCCCGCTTCATGGTTATAGCAATAAAACTGCACTCCTCCCCTGAAGGCGCTGACATTCTAGCCAGCGAGATGGACAATAGGCAAATATGTCATGAAGGCAGGGACTCTTTAGTACAGTCAGAGAAAGTATTGTAAAAGGAAGGATGACCAGATGGAGGTGATAAGGGAAAGGTGGAAGAGCTCTCACCAAGGGAATCTTAAATAAATTTGGATGGGGAAATTTCATGCTGTATGTAGATTTTTCAGAGGTTAGATGCATGCTTCATCCCTAATTTGAAAGAAAATAGCAAGAACAGCTCCATGGACAACAAACCTGAATTTGCTCCATATAGATTCTAAAGCAAATGAAAATGGTTTCTCGGTGGTTAATTGGTCTTGTCTTTTAAAAGCTTCCAGAGAACAGAGGCACTGTCAGTTCCTCCCGACAGTCCTAATGTCACATGGCTTCCAGGGGAAGCAGCCCGCACTGTCTCTTGCTGGCTCCCTGAGGAACGCCAGTCTCCTAAGACCTAATAGCCAAGGCTGGGGTGGCCTAATTACTGCCAATTAATTGCACATCTTCTCCTGCCCAGAGCTTAGAATCTGCCCTATTTTCTGGTACCCAAGGACACACACAGCAAAAGCCGGAAGAGTCACGAGTCCTCAGAGCCCTTTTGGCCTTTTTTGTCCTCTTCTCTTTACTGCCAGGCAATAAAAACATTGGCTCCTGCCGTACCTCTTGGTTCCTGACTAATCTTTTGTTCCTCTCTAGATCAGAGAACCTTCAGTTGTTTTAATACTAGCTGTTTGATTACTAAAGGCTGGATGAGATCCAAATCCTTCCAAGGCCTGAAGCTCAGAAAGTCACCTCTGGCAATGAGCTGACCCCTCCATGTGGGACCCTTTTTTCCTACTGCTACCTTAATCTCACTTAGTCCTTAGTCACTGCTTTAGCTAGAGACCAGCAAAATAGATTACATATGGGGAGACCAGAAGCTTTACTGTACCAGGCATCTAAGGGGGGGGGGAAGTTCTTTGAAGGGAAATGAAACACTTTTTCTCTCTCCATATTGGGTCTTTAAAATTGTAACAGGTTGCTGAGCGTGGTGATGCGCATCTGTAATCTCAGCACCCTGGAGGCTGAGGGAGGAAGACTGCCATGATTTCAAGGCCAGAATGGGCTATGTAGTGAGTTCAAGGCTACTCTAAACTACATAGTTGAGGTCCTGTCTCAAAACAATAAAACTCTTATAATAAGCATTAACAGATATACCTATATTTAAAATTAGCATTCATAGCCTAACAGACTTCTTCACAAAAAACATTCAATAAGTCATGTTTCAGTAAAATTCCTTTGGCAATTTCAGTAACAATTACATTATTTAAGATTAAGTTAACTCAGGTGGAATAGTGAAACTGAAGCCAAAATACTAGGCATTCATAGATCTAAATTTTTAAGTATTTTTAAGATTTCAATATAAATTACACAAATTTCAGACAGGAAGCTAAGATTTTTTTATATTGTAGACAATGTAATGTAATACGTTGCACTGTTCATATCACCGGTAAATAGGAAACTGAAACCATCACATCCCCAAGTTTATCTGTATGCTATTCTTACTATTTGGTAACTTTTCTGATTCTTTAGCTCAAACTAAATCACAAAGGTCAAGTTGTAGTACTTTCTCAGAAGGCAGATTAGGTAAGTATTTATACAATGTTTAGCCTCATTTAACCTTTTTAAAAATTTATTAGTCCATGTTTGCAGTACATAATACTCCCCATTCGTCTTGGGCGTGTCCATGGTACATCTTAATTTTCTTGCCCACACCCTTTTCATCCCTCCCTGCTTCAGCTCCTGGTCCCCTCCCCGTTTGACAAAGAAAGCTCTATTTCCATGTGTCTTTCAATTCTTTTATCCCTCCCCCCTCCAGCCCCTGATCCCTTTCCCATGTGAAAAAGATCGCCTCACTTTCTATCATCTCTTTTGTTCTTTATATTTTGGGTTTCTCATAGAAATGAAACAATGCAGTATGGAAGCTTGTGTGTCTGATTTACTTCATGTTACATTATGGCCTCCAGGTAACATCTACTTACTTATGAATGCCTCAAGTTTATCCTTCTTTATGTGAAGTAGTACTTTATTATGCATAGGTACATTTTCTTTATCCTTTATCTGTGGATGGACATACAGGTATTTCCACATAGCTATCAGAAATTATGCTGCTGTAAACATCAGTATACATGTTATCACTACAATGTGATGACTTTTAACTCCTTCAGGAAGATAACTAGAAGGGAATAACTGGTTGAATGCTATTTCTATTTTTAGTTTGAGAAACCTCAAACTAAAATTGTTCTAGTTTATATACCTACCAACAACGCAGAGACACCTTTCCGCGCACAGGCTTGCCAGTATTTGTTACTATCTGGCTTCTTACTGCTAGCTATTCTTTCTGGAGTAAGATAGAAACTCATTGTTGTTTTAATTTGTTTTTCTAGTTGCCAGCATGTTCAGCAGTTTTCCATGTATTCACTGGCCACCTGTGTTTCTTCTGAGAAGTGTCCGTTCTCGCTTCTGCTCCATTCATGCCACTTCAACTTACCACGCAGTAGTTTCTCCAGCATCTTCGTGCCACCCATCCAGGGCAACAGGGAAGCCACGGGAACTGAAGTGCAGATCACAGAGTCACGGGCACCTCCCGACTCACCTCCCTTCCTGCTTTTACCCTGCCCACCTTCCCCTGCCCTTGTCCCCTTACAGTCTTATGAAACCACGCCCCTTTAAAGCCTTTAAGTGCAGACTCTCTGCCTCCTCGGGCACCAGCCCTTGGGCTTTCCAGGGCAGAGCCTTCGGTCTCCAAGAGCAGACTCCTTGGCCTCCTGATTACAGACCCAAGGGGCACACACTACGGGGCTGAGCACTAGCTGGATTCTTCAGATCTCTAGCACAGACCTGGGAACTGAAATGAATAGATACCTGTGACTGAATAAATTAAGCTCTGAGCTAGGCAAACAAAACACAACAAACAATTCAGTTTATCATTCATTTAATCTTCTTCCTCTGCTCAATAAATTCTCCTTAGTGTGTGTGTGTGGTAGTGGGGGAGACAACATGAATGGAAGTCCAACAACTAACATAAATTAGGCTTCGGGGTTGTTTAATCAGCCAACATTTTGATATACATGAAAATAGATTCCTACACAAATCCTTGGCCATTCAAATTTTTGATTCGTTTTGGTTACAGCAGGTCCTATTTTGAGTGTATAGATCTGATTTATTTTCCAATATACCAACCTAGTAATTGCACTACTAAGAAAGCTACAAAATACAAAAGGTACTCAAATCAAAACATAAACTCAATCAATGAATGCCCCTTAATTCTGCACTCCTGCTACTACTGGATTATAAAGAATGACAAAGGTTTTTCAAACCTTTGTCAAGTAAATCCAAAAAATTTTACAATATCCCTTTGGATTCCTGTTTAAAAATATACCTGTACCACTTTTGTAGTATCAGTTACTGAATTCTGCATCAAATATACACTAAATTTTATGCATTAATACTAATCCCTAACCTACAAGTAAAGGTTCCTGGATCTTTTAAATAATAACAAATATTCTAATTAGGATTTTAGTATGAAAAGTTTTAATGAAAATATTAATCATACAAAATAGCAAAAGTACTTAAAATGACAACAATTCCAACAAAATTGGCTGATATTCACTGATTTGCTTTCGTAAGAATCACTTCTAGCCTACCAACATAGCAGTAAAGAAAAATGAGAATCAGTTCCATAAATCGACCCTGTGCTCAACACATATTGCTCATAAATATTAGCTTTGCTTTTATTATTATCTTTAAAAGATACATACAAGCTTTACAAAATATGCCAACTTCCGTTGAAAGCTACCTGTACAGAAAACAGTCATACATGAGGAACTCAGCCTGGCATTTGTTGAAACAGCTATCTTTTCTGAGGAACACAATGAAATTCATTTCAGTGATAAAAATTCCTCACCAACTTCTGAAATCTAATAAAGCTTAATGTTACAATTTAAGGGTCTTTTATAGAGAATCAGTTTTTCTAAAAAATACAAAGTTACATGATCAAGAAAAGTACTACATTGAAACACCGAGAAATATTCCTTTTACTACACATATGGCTCAGTTAATTTCATTTGAATTTTAAAATATCCAAAAAGTTGTTTGTTTGAAATATTAAATGAAACAACTAATACAAAGAAGCACAGTGAATGACAAACACGGAATTGTCTCTAGCTCAGCCTTATGAAATACTTCACAATTTGTCATGCTTTTACTTTAAACAGTGTTATACTGCCCTTTCTAGAATACTAATTAAGGTAAAGCTTAGCATTCTGTACTTCTAAGGACAGCTGGAGGAGAATACAGAGAAGAATGAACATATATTATGTTCTACAATACAAAGTGTCCAAGATACCCAAACTAACAATTTATCTAAATTCAATCTGAGGTATATTAAAAGATGAAACATTTTATTTAGTCTGTATCATAGGTGATGTACCATGCAAACACTACCATTGCAACTCCACACACCGGAAGAAAATAATATTTGTATTTCTGCCAAAATGATAGCTCAATTGCCACTTCATCTCTTTTTCTGTTCTTCTTCCGACGACCCCTCAATCTGTTTTCAAAAGCCTCCAGTTCAGCCTAAATAAAAAGTTTAATTTTTATTAAATTCAATGTATACATTTATTTGAAACTTGCCATCTGAATTAAAATAAACCAATTTGGGAAATGTCTGCATAGTAATGGTATAAATACGTTAATTGGAGTGCACACCTCTCTCCACTACTGACTGTATTCAACAAATTCAAAATTAATTTAGAAAAGCAAAAGGGGATCTGAGGAGTGATAGCAGTAATTATTTGAGAATACAGACCTAACTGCAAACATAAATATTAAAATCTGATTGAACTGGAGCCCTATAACATACAGACATGAGTTTTACACTCCAGCACCATCATATTTCAGTATCAACTTCTTGGAAGTACTAAGAGATGCCCAGTGAGAAAAGAAACTTACAACTCAAAAATGAAATTGCAACTCAAGAAACAAATATTAGTGGTTTTAAAGAAGGAATTCAATTGAATGAGAAAAAAGTTGCCAGTAATCAATTCCTTTCTTTATCAAATAGATTTTTTAAAAATACAGTAAAAATTCCTCAAGAAAGAAAAAAGATGCTTTAGGTTTTAATGCAAAAACTAAAGAATTAAAAATTAATTCTGAAAAAAGGGTAACTGGGTTATATTCATTATCAAATGTGGATTTTTATCCTATGCTAAGTACTTACTAAACTTCTACAGGTTATGTACTTCAATATACTTCTATAGTACATACACTATATAATATATACTATAGTACATAGTTATTCACTAAAACCTGAGTTATATTAACTAAAATACGAGTCTGTAAATGTTTATACAATATCCTTCATTGAATATAAAGTACCATTCTTCCATAAGCAAAAAAAAAAAAAAAAAAAAAACACTATACTCAAGTGGTTATTATATACAGAAAAATATCAAAATAGCTTAAAAGCAGCCAACTTGAGGACCACTGACAGAACATAATTAATGCTGAAATGATGACCTACAGTCTGCAAGTAAACATCAGGTTCTATGCATTCTGCTGAAAGTCAGTAACAGGAATATATTTAAGATTTTCATTTAGAATTGTTCATAAAATGGTGTTGGAGATAAAAATCTTACTCTAATAATTTAATTGCTAAGATTCCAGCCTATATTAGCTTTGGTGCTTTATCATGGGGTATTAGGCAAATGAACTGTATAGACTAATAAAACATCAGGGGTCATCAGTAGACAATATTTGCCACAAACACTGCTTCAAGTCTTGTTAAGTTTCGATTCCCTCATTCATAATAGTGGTTAATTTAGCTTATAAATATAAAGCATCTCTTAACAAGTGATTAATTACACATCATATTAGGAAGTGAAGCCACACTCTGGAGTATACAACCAGTATTTCAGAAAATGGGGTACCAGGAATGTGCTTGTTCTCTAGGTTATAACAAAGAGTAAATGACAGTCCAACACTTCAGGATCTAATAGGGATGGAGGGAATACATTACTGAAACAAATGTATTTTTTGAAACTCAGCAGAAAACTTCAAATACTTTCACATGAGTAAAGACAACAGTTCTAGAAGATGCCTACAATGATGACATGACATCCTCGCTACTCCTCCTCCACCAAAAGAAGACTTACAGCTCTTACGTTTAAAAAGTGACTGAAATTGGCAAGGAAGTAAATTGGAGATATAAAATACTTTGGAATATGCAAGATCTATGCCTTCTTAGAGTTTCAGCATATCTGAAATGAAGTAAATACATGGTTCATTTTTGTTTTATAGTAACTATATTATATTCAGTTCACTCAGAGTTGAACAGCCCTTGTGTTTGGCATATACCTTATGTTTGCATAAAAGTAACAATAAAGCCAGTAAGCACAGACATGGGATATTAAGCAAATGAACTTTTTATTATTTTGTTCAGTTACCTGTTGTCTTCGTTTTTCCTCTTCAAGAGCAGCTTTAGCTTCTGCCTCTTTTATCTGTTTATACGCATTTAGAGATAAATTAAAATTTAAACCATCAAATTTTGTAGCGAAAAAATTAATATCTTCTCAACCCAAGCTCTATTAATCTATAGTAAATTTTGGTAGTCCTCATATTAGAAACTATTCAAAGAAATGTAATACGATACTGAGAAGTTTTATTAGACACAATCTAATAAATTAAGAGTGGTGGAGGGAGTTAGTCCTTAAATGTTTCCTCCTAACTGTATTAGACATCAGATCACAATTCAAAGTGTTAAAACACTGTAAACTGAAATGCTTTTAAATTCTGAGTTTCTCCCTTAAAGTACTGTATTAGAAATCTAGAATCAAGTATTAAGTATTAAAATTCCCTACAGCTGAAATTGACCATTTTTTAAATACTGTATCTGAAAGGGAATTCTTAGTTTTAACAAAATCAACAGTTTATCCATTGATAGGGTTGACAAGAAAAACAATAACACGAACAAGACTCCCAAATTCTCCTTCTGTAATCTTTTAATCTAATTTTCAGGAGACATATGTAACACTGAAACAAATGGTCACAGCCCAAAGCAAGCACAGTACTTGTACTAAGACTATAAAACTTAGGTACACAGTGGGCAAGGGAAAATATGCCCTGGGTTCAAAATAAGCCCATAAAACTTGGCCTTTATAATAAAAGCAAAAACATGAAATTTCAAGTTGTTTTTAATAAGCAAATAAATGCACAAAATAAGAAGAGAAAAGCCATTAGCATATTAAAAAGATACGTAAGACATTATTACCTCAGATGCTTTCCGCTTCATTTCCTTGCATGTTGTATCACATTCTATAGAAACCTGATTTTCACGTACTTTACTGCACTGCAATTCCTACAGATAATCCAAATTTCAAATTTTAAATGACCTTTCCTTCAAATTCACAAGTGTATATGCCATTAAAAAAAACTTGCCAGCTTATGGTTATAAGTATTTGTCATTAATGTTTAATGTTGTAAGTATTAAATACCTTGGTTCAAATGGTGATTACTCCTTTATTTTTTCTTAATTAAAAAAGTTAACCGCAACAGGTAATCCATTTAATATTTACTGGCTGCCACTAGCAACTTGGCCCATTTTATGTTTATTCTTTACTTTCCCTTACTACTCTTTGTTGCTATTTTAGCCTCCATGGAATAAAATGTTGCACAACGGTTCTAGCATACCCAGCTTTCTAGGATAACATAAATGCTAACTGCACTATTTAGAAGAGTAGTACTGGGCCAGGGATTTAGCTCAGTGGTGTCAGCACCTGCTTGGCAAGTGCAAGGTCATGAGTTTGATCCTTGGTACAAAAAAAAAAAGAGGAGTATTAACTACACATGAGCTCTTAAAATTTGCCTAGCACACCTGAGGAACCAACCAAATACTTAATACATTTAACATGACATATAGTAAATCAAAGATTTGCACAAAACAAACTTTCAAAGGAGTCCAGGGTCCTGTCTGCCAACAGGAAAGTCAAAATTAAAATCAGAAAAAACCACTATCTTTTCCTTCACAAATTTTGCTGAACTGTATATAATTTGTTTCTACTGTGCCTTTCAGTCCTTAGTCTTCACCTGTTTATTCCTTATTACTGTTATTTATCTTAAAAGATTGTTTCCAACTCTTATTTTATGTATGAAGCTACATATGTGAGGTTCTTCAAAGGAAACATTTTCAATAGATAATACTCGGCAAAAAACATGAATTAGAACAAAGTTTAATTCTAGGCCATTTCTTAAATTACAAAATCCACATTATCACTCAAAATGTTGCTTCTTCAGAGACTTCAAACCTAGAGCGTACTGATTCTCTACCCAAACAGGGAGCTACTCCAACAGAAAATAATCTTTAATTGTTAAATTGAAGAAAATTAAATTGCCAAAGCTGATTTTTAAAATTAAGCACGTAGTAAAATACAGACTTTTAATTATAACAAAGACTAACAAGAGTTAAAATGGGAAGACAAAAAAGTAAATCCAAAGAACATACCAAGCAGACCAAACCAAAGAATAATATATAATATATGTTAAAAAGTATTTTAAATTACTTAGAATACATACCTTTTTTATTCTTTTACAAGGACATCTAAGTTTAACCTTCTGGTTGCAATTAAAGGGACATTCACCAGGATGACACATCTCTTTGCATCTATGACCACAAGGAAGCTAAAATAAAATCAAAGTAAAGCAAATAGGCATTTGCATTTGGTAGTATTTCTCATCCTCTTATACCCCAACAACTATTTTAAGATTCCAAAACACATAGGCCAAATCAATCCTGGCTAATGAATGGGCTAATTTTCCAACATTCTTCTTTTAGCTACTTTATAAAGAAACTAAATATTCTCCCTGGCTCCATTCCAGCCACACTTATAGCTATTTATAGCCATATGATTAAGTTCCAGTTAATGGAGTGCATGCAAGTGTGCCTGTATATACTTCTAAAATGTTACTTCATGTGCTAGAAATAAAAATCTGTAGCAATAATGAAAACTGAGTGTCAAAGAACAGAGTTGCCTGGATGGCTGGATCCCTGGAGGAGTAATGTATACAACGCAATGACAGAGCTACTATCCCTGTACTGTCACATGATTTAAAAAAATCATCATCCTTAAACTACTGTATTGTGTTACAAACACTCATCCTTTTATGCTAAAACTTATCCTTCATATTATGTATTAATACATATCGTTTATGTAGTAAAAACAACTCAGAAATTGCCATGATGTCTAAGTATTCCTTATCTTCATTATTTACTATGTTCTTGTTCCAGTCAAGCTTTCAGAAGAAACAGTCTCTCCCTCAGTCTAGTGAAATCTTATCCACACTTAAAGATAAGGCTTAAATTACTGAGTTTGCCTATGCATAAATAATAGTTATATAAGAAATCTATGTCTAAGTTGTTGTGACACTGCTTATATTATCTTAATCACACACACACAGAGACACACACACACACACCCCTCTTTTTTTAGGCATTTTCAAAACACACCATCATTCAAAGATTTATTTCAAAATCAGACTACCTAGAAATGAATCACAGATTCATTGTTTGCTAACTTTGAGACTTTAGTCAAGTCACCTGGCTCTTCTGTTTTCATATGTAACACTGTAAAGAGTAATATCACATTAATAAAGTTATTGTGAGGCTTAAAATGTGTTCAAGACATGTAGCTATAACCCTAAAAATTATTTTAAGTTACTTGAGGGCAATGATCTTCAAACTACTGACTACTCACTTTAAGAAATTCAGAATTTTATCTTATAGCTGGGCAGAGTACGAGTAGAGGGAGGGTTTTACTCTAGACACTGCTGGGTCACTTCAGTTTTGTTGTTCTGACACAGAGAACACTGAGCCCAGAACACTGTTTAACCAGCTCAGTATTTCCCCACACATCAAACACCTGGTGCTCGGGGCTTATTTCAAATCTCTGTGTTCCGTAACTTTACTCTTACAGTTCCTACAGTGCCTGCAGCCTGACCTTATAAAGAAACCAAACATTTGGCCCTGGCTTACCACCTACCCTTTATCCCCTCAAATTATGCCTCTATATATTCTTGTGCTTTCCTTAATCTCTGAACTACATTGTCTCTAAAACTAACTAACCTCTCTAGGTCAACTTGAAATCAATGGTTCTAGAGAGCAGGAAAGCTAGTAAGGAAACAAACAAGAAATTGTCCAAAAAATTAAGAAAACTTATAAAAATACTGCTTATAGATAAATATCTATGCTACCATCACTGTAGCAAGCACATATATAGTGTTCATCATATAGTAGGACCTTTACAAGTTGTTACCTCACTAAAACACAGAAATACCCTGAAATGGGGATTATACATAATTTCCACTTTTTATATATGAACCACTGGAGGTGCAGAGAGAATAAGTAATTTGCCTAGGTACAAAGTTACACAGCTTGCATAAGAATGACAAAAGCAAATTCAGAAGGAAGTTTTGAAAGTAGAAGTATCATGTCACTTATATGTAGAATTTCTTAAAAGGTGAACTCAAAAGTAGTGACTGGAAAATGAGTTTTCAGAGGCTGGTGTAGGGTAAGGATGTCAGGAAAATGCTGGGTTGAAGGGTGCAAAATTTCAACTAAGACAACCAATTCAAGAGATGTATTGTACAAGATGATGGCTACAACAATGTATTATATCGTTGAAAGATTTTAAGTATACTAACCATAAAAAAGGTGAAATAATATATAAGATCATTAGCTTAATTTGCTCTAATTCATACATATTTCAAAACAGTATGTATATAATAAATATAGTTATTTCTCAATTAAAATTTTTAAAAGGTTTTAGACATAGTTTAAGCTGTGTTCTACGTGGTTTCATTTGATTCCGACCTTCCTTATATCTCCTAAAGAAAAATATAAAAATACACATTTATGGTATAGTTTTAAGATGTAGTTCTTAACAGCATTTTTGTCTTTTCATTGAAATTCAAGCCTAGCTGGGTGTGGTGGCACACACACCTACAATCCAAGCAACTGGGGAGACTGAGGCAGGAGGATCATAGCCTGAGCAACTTAGCAAGATCTTGCCTCAATATTCAAAAATGAAAAGGGCTGAAGATTGTAGCTCAGTGTGAAAGTTCTGGATTCAACCCTTATTACTGCAAAACAACAGTTATAATAATAATAATAAAGAACTCGTATCTAATTAACCATATAGAAAACAAAGTACAGTACATATCAGAGAAGCAGTGAAACAGGAAAAATAGGTCATGCCATTCCCACATTTCATTTTTCCTATGCATTCAATAAATATTTACCAACTAGGGAGCTATATCCCTGATCAAAACAAACGTACAGCAGGGGAAGGGGAAGAGGAAATAAACAGAATTTCTAAGAATGCAGAAAATAAATACCCACTGCATTAGAATTTATAAGACCCTTATACCTTAACTTTTACTATATGGTATCTCTGGATTCAAAGTGACATATTTCTTTTATTATACATTGAACATGTGGCTCAGCAGTTCTCAAAGTATATTCCTGGGCCAAACAATCACTATTACTTAAGAATGCAAAAATGGGGGCTGGGGATTTAGTTCAGCGGCATAAGCGCCTGCCTTGCAAGCAGGCAGTCGTGAGTTCTATCCCTGGTACCAATAAAAAGGAAAAAGACAAAAAAAAAAAAAAAAAGAATGCAAATATTGGGTCCCATCCTACAAAATCAGAATTTATGGAATGGGACTTAGCAATGTTTTAACAAGCCCTTGAAGCAATTTGTTACATATTAAAGTTTGAGAACCACTAGTAAAGCCGTACTCATGTTAAGAGGTCACAAACCAAAATGACTTCTACTGGACATAATGAAATTCACCTATGCACTCCTAGATCATTCCAAACTATAAGTGTCACTTCAATTATTATATCCAACCTATGTGTCCATTTCTCAAGGAAGCCCAAGGATATTCTAGCAGACCAGGACTTCAGAATGACCTAAATTCCAAATCTTGAAAATGGATATTAACAGATAATACATTTTTAAATAAACTGTAGCTATTCATCTAGTAAATGTCTCAGTGCCATTACCACTTCATCACAGCTAAGGCAATACTAAACTGTAAAGCAAGAACTGAATAGTCATATTTCTACCTGTAAAACTATACCAAGTTACTGAATCAGATTAAAAGTAAAAAATTCTCTGCTGTTTATTATTTAGGATCTGAACTTGGACAAAAGAAAATTTATTTTAACAAAGAAATTTTTAGGATTTGAAGAACTCAGAAAATTTGAAATATCCATGTACTTTATTTTCAGTACATAACTGACAGGATTATTAAAATAATCATTTGTTGTTTGAAATGGTCTTTCCTTTCACAATCTTAAAATATCCAGGTTTATTTTTTAAATTCTTAAAAGAATTCATAAAAAGTGGTGCAAATCTATGAACTAACTTGTTTTACATTTAATCACAGACTTATATTTAAGACTTAATTGTCATTTCATTCTCACAGAACAAAAAAACATTTAAGTACATTTAAAGGAAAGAGGTACTACTTAGTACATTTGAAGTGAAAACAATTCATTTTGAAATGTCTTTTCAAGTAACAAGGAATACCCACCCTTTCAAATTACTCACATAAAATGAATTACTATGGTTTCTCAAATTTTTATGAGGATAAATCACTGATTCATTTTTAACTTTTTAGTTTGAACAATTTTTAGCCAAAGTTTTTAAAACACAACCTCAGGTGGCACACCCCCGTAACCCCAAGCACTTGAAAGGCTTATTGAGTTCAAGGCCAGCCATGGTGAGACTTTGTTTCAAGAAAAAAAAAAAGCCCCACAAATGCCACAATGAAAATGACCCAGTTTATCTTCTATGATAGTATGTCAAAACACTGGATGGGAATGTTTATCCTCCCACACTGCCCCACCACACATGTATGCAAGCTCACATACACATGCACACTTTCTTTTTATTACTATGAGTCTATTCTCACACAGTGTTTCTATTTGAAGCTTGAGTCATGTTATGGAGTTAATACAGTAAGTATTTTACTTGCATCAATCTATTTTTGAAATAGTTTCTTTAAAGAATATCTTCAGATGGTTATTCCTAGTCCTAATATCCCCAAATTCCATACAGATGTGCATCTGTCCTAACCACATATTTCCATTTTTATAGATATCAGTCACATGCACAAGACTCACTAAAAAAGACCTGAACTAAGATATAAAAACAAGAAAGAGAAAATCTCAGAGGAAACAGTGCCCCAGGAACACAGCTAAGAAGTTCCTATTACAGCTTACCTCTTTCGGACACTGATTTTTGCAGCAACTGAGGCGGTTCTTTTCATTTACATCAGCTGTGGTTATTTTTCTAAAAATAAAGTTTTGAAGACAGTCAAAAGGTTGATTTCACACCACAATTTTTCTAAAAATATGTGCTCTTTTAATTCAGTGTCAAGTATAATCATAAATACATTTCATTTTTTTCTTGCTATACTTTAATCATCTTCAAATTAATGTTCTGGTAACTCAAACTATCAAGGCAACAAATCAAATATCAAAAAGGCAACCACAAGAAATACAAGACACACAAAATACCATCCATAGCTGGCATCTCTAATAGTTCTATCTTTCCCTATAAATTGATCATTATAACTCTTAATTGTAATTCATTAGACTGCATAAAAATCTTAAAAACTATTTAACATGTGATACTTTTATTAGAAAAGGGGTTTTTTTTAGTTGCTTATGGGTACATTATGAGGTATGATTGGAAAATACTATTTAAATTGCCATTTGTTACTCTCAATGTACCCAACACCCCCGCACCTCAAACACACTTATCCTATCATTCATGCCACTTTCTGAAGCAGGCCTGGAAGTCCTCTAGTTGTGCTGTCATGGCTGCCTCAAAATCCTGAATAGACTCCAAGCATTCATCTTTCATCGCTCTGCTTAGGGGAACAGTCAATCGAGGCACAGTCCCAGAGGACACCTCATAATGCTTTTATCAGCCTGCGTTTCTGTTGCATGGCCACTGGAAGCAGCTTTCCCATATTTATGATGATACCCAGAAAGATACTCACAAAGGAGGATTCCTGTAACTGCTTCAGAAAGTAAAGCATGATGAGGTAAGTGTGCTCAAAGTGAGAGGTGGTATATGGAAAGAAATTAATAGCAATATGACTTGCACTGTGGTAAAATTTCTTTTCATTTAAACATCTACCATATATTTGGTCACACCCTCACATTAGAATCTCAGATTCACATCTCAGATGAGTTTTTACATTTTCATATTTGACTCAAAAAAGTCACAAACATCAAAGAAAACTTACTTTCTAAAAAAATTACTATTGAGAGTAATGAGCAAAAACCTGAAACTCCCTATCATAAATACTTCATTTCCCACTACCTTTCTTCTCCTTTCCTTTTTCTTTTCCTGCTTTTTCTAGTTCCTTCATTAGTCAAAACTACCAAAGTAAACCATAAATTTAGTTCTACTGCTAATTAAAATTACATTAAATGTTTGTATCAGCTGTATAAATGTACTTTAATATTTCAATTTTCCTAATCATTTTATTTACTACTATGAAGTATTTTTATTGGCTTTCTTCAAAATAGTTACATATTTTTCATCCTTACAAGGAAAATGTTAACTTCTGAACTTAAGAAAAGCATCGTTTTGTTCCTGTTACTCTATAAGTAAGAATAAATCAGTTTTTCAAGGCTTTTGTCACTTAGGTCTACTTTCTAAAGAGACAAAGCTGAAAGGGACTAAATGGGAAAAAAAAAGCATGTGAAGTAACTTACTGAAGTGAAAGTAAATGAAATATTAAGTAATGAAATTATCATAATATTCTATATATAAAATATGTACTTTAATACATATTTGTAGAAAAATAAATACTAATTTCTAGCTATTATTTCTCAAATTATTACTGTAAATCTTCTCAGAGCAAGGAAGTTCTGGATAAACTGAGCAGAAAAGAAAAGGCAATTTTTCAGGGAAAAAAAAAAATCCACTATGCAAACACAAAAACCCCTGGTGAATAAGAGCATTAACAAAAGGGCTGATGGACCTTTAAAAAGCAGCACTCTGAGAAGCAGCATCTTTGGAGGATTACATGATGAAGAGGAAAATGAACAAGAAGGAAATTTAGAAACCTGAAAGACGAAGGAAAATAAAACAGAATGTAACACCTCCCAAAACCATTCTAAGAAGTATATTTCAAAAACCATTTTTTGCTACCCTGACAGAAGAGTGGCAACAATCCAAAACCATGATAGCTCTACTCACAGAAAATGAAGACATAATTTACAGCCACAAAAACTACTGTAGTAGGTGCTGGGGATTTAGCTCAGTGGCACAAGTGCCTGCCTGGCATGTGCAAGGTCGTGAGTTCAATCCCCAGTACCAACAAAAAGAGAGAAAAAAAAAAAAAAAAAACCTACTATAGTAAATAAATAGAAAATGAAAACCAAGATATTCTACCTGATGAAAAGCTCTTCCTTCCACACCACACTGTCAGCCCATCCTCCCAACCCCAATAATTTCAGGGTAAGTATTTCAAATTTAAAAATCTGATTGGAGCTTTTGGATTTCAGATATTTGGATTATGGATGTTCAGTACAGTTTTCATAGGTTGAATATCCCTAATCCAAAATCCGACAAGCAAATATTCCAAAATCCAAAGAACTCCCAAATCTGAAGTATCTCTGGTCTCAAGCATTTCATATAAAAGATATCTAATCTGTACAATACAAAGAAAAAGGAAATCGGCTGAGCGTGTAGTTCAGCGGCAGAGCATTCTGCCTAAAGGTGCACAAAGTCCTGGCTCAATCCTTGTAGCACTGCAAAAACAGAGAGAGACAGACAGAGACAGACAGAGACAGACGGGGGCCGGGGGGAGAGGAAGAAGAGAGAGGAGGGAAAGAAAGGGAGACAGACAGAAATGGAACACAATATTCCAAAGTGAATTAAATATTCTCAAAGAAGTGTGACCCTATCGGAAACACCACCACCTGTGCAGCAGAGTTACACCCAAATGCATTTCCCTTTGCTGACTGTGCTTTGTATCCCTTTGGGGTAACAAGATAGCCCTCTGAAGGATGTATGCTAGATCCTGAGTCCTCCTAGCAAATTACAAATCTAAGTACGATCTTAAACACCTGCCACATACCACTACCTTAAATTAGAAAATCAAAACCTAAAAACCTAAATGAGGGAAAAAAATAATAAAAACTGCACAAAAATAAAGTGAATTCAGGAAGGCAATTTTTAAAGGCAAAAGTTATATCAGAAATGAAAATTAAACTACAAGGTACCCATGGAAGAACTCCTACAAGAACATACTTGAAATACGCAATAAAGATCCTTGAAGTGACAAAATAACTCTGAAAATTTAAACAAAACTGAGGAAAATTTGTCAAAAAGAAGTGGTTGAATTGGAAAACAGATCCAGTAAACACACTGTTATGCTAAAAGAAAACAAAAATAGTAAACAGAATAGAATCAGTATTTCATTAAAAATTGTAAGAAAATCAAAAAAGCTGTATCTATATACAAAAAAGGTACTTGAGAAAGTTTTATAACATTTACACAAGACTATTAACAAAGTCACATCTTAGTAAAACTAAGGCATGATAAAACAAAAGATTAAAGAAGGAAAGAGACTGACGTCACAAAATATTTGGAAAAGGAACACAAAACAGTATTTTCAAAAAATTACAAAAGAACATTAAAAAAGGACTTTATGCCCATGAAATAATCTTAAACATGCAAAAACTCAGAAATACTGTAACATAACTGAACAACATTTCTTAAATACTATGAAGTATTCTGAATTAAGAAGATGCCATTCAAATAAATACCTTAGTCAAACCATGTTTCATCAATCCACTTACCTACATTCCACATACAGGCTTGTGATCTTGCAGTGACATTTTATCCTAAGCATCTGAACACAAGGAGGACATTCTCCAGGGTGACATGGTAAAACACATGGATGAGGACAACCCAATGGCCGTGACTTGGAGCATCCTTCTTCACAGCGAAGGCATTCTGGGCCAGCCTAAAAGGTCATATGGAATAAATCACACCAAAGTACATAAGCCTAACAATTCTACGTATTAAAGTTAGAAAAGTTAGACATCCCATTAAAATGATGTACTTCTACAACCTTTACAAATAGTTAATAAAATGCTACATGCTCTCTTTATTCAAGATGAAGAATAGTAAGACTATCAACATGACCACTATTCACACAGATTCTTTTCCATCAAATCTGGTCAGACTGCCTCATTTTTAACTAGATCAAGTATTCCTACTTAAAAAATAAATAAATGAACTACTGCCTAAAAAAAAAAAAAATACTCAGTGGCAGAAAAAAATAAAGATTGAAGCCAGGTATAGCATACCCCTGTAATCCCAGTACACAGGAGGCTGAGGCAAGAGGATTGCTACATATTCACAGCCTGGGCTACATAGTGAGTTCAAGGCCAACCTGAATTGAACCACAAAACCCTGTCTCAAAAAGCAAAAAAAAGTTACCAGGCATGGTGGCACACACCTATAATCCCAGCTACTTGGAGGGGAAAACAAGAGGATCACAAATTCAGGGCCAAACTGGCCAATTTTGCAAGATCCTATTTCAAAATAAAGTAAAATAAATAAAATAAAAGACTGGAAATGCAGCTCTTGGTAGATTAAAAGTACTTGTCTGACATGCATGAGAACCTGTGTTCAATCCCCAGTACTGCCAGAAAAAAAAAAGCTCAACACAGTTAACACATAAAAAATGCAAATTAATAAACTTTAGTTCAAGGTCGCAACCTCGATCCCTGACACAAAAACATAAAATAAATAAAGCTAAATTATATTCACAAATAAAAATACTTCAGTGTAACTTAACAAGGCACCTCTCTCTGCTCCAGTGATTTGATAAGGCAACTAGTATCAGCAATCTACTACCAAAGAAAGTTGAATATGTTTATTGCAGGATATTCTATTATTTTTATTTTCACATGGTATACTTGAAATAAACTACATAAGACAGCTATAGATACTGACACTAAGTCTTAAAGTTTAAGCATTTTTATTGCAATTCTTAATTTATAGCCATAATTATAATAGTCATATCAATAAAGGTCTAAGCTATTTGGCATTTAGGATTAAAAAGTGTTTTAAACCATAAAAAGCCTTCTATATTTTATTCCTTTATGTTCAAAAAGTATATTCGTCACTCTACATTTATTCACTATTTTATTTGTCAGCCATTGTTCAAAACACTGGGAAGAGACAAGAGTGATCTCTGGAACTTAACATGGGAAGATAAAGAACATGACATATGTATTTGTAAGTACTGTAAGGAAAAGATAGAACATATTAAGAAAGAAGGATGGCGGGAATAAGAATGAAACCTGTCTGATTAAATCCAGATTTGAATAGAAACTAAGTTAAATAAGGGAGCAAGCCACAGGAATGTAGATTTCTTCAACACAGAAATTCAGAGAAAAGGAACACATAACACAAAGGCTATCAGGTGATAAACTCACTGCTCAGGAAGTAGCAGGAGAAGGAGCAGAAGCAGAAGTGCGCAAGCAAGAGAGAGATGAGTAATCAGAGGAGAGCTGGGAGAGGCAGCTAGGCTTCAGACCGTTATCAAGCTTCATGGGCATGAGTTCAAGTTCTTTCAATTTTAATCTAAGAGTGACTGAAAGTTATTAAAGGATTGTATGCAGGGAGATGTTACATACTTTACATTTTTAAAAACATGAATCTGGCTAATTTAGAAATTAAGTAGGTCAGCTGGTAAAATGGAAACATAGGTAAGGGGATGGTGCCGAGATGAAAATATTAATAACAGAGGTTATGAAAAGTGGTCAGATTCAGGATTTATTTTGAACATAAAGCTAACAGCACGTTTTACAGAACAAGAACAATGACGATTTTTAAAAAATCAAGCATGATTCCTTTATAGCTGAGTAAATAATGACCTGTGTAACTGGCTAGAAATTGCAATACAACTTATTCAAAGAGAAAGACTGGGAAAGGAATAGGCAAAGAACCAAAAAACATGCAAACATAACCGGATTTAAACATACACACCCACAACTTTGTTTGCTCTTTCTGGCTATGTGGTTACCCTTCAATTAATCATCTAAATAATATGAGCATATCAGACTAGGAGTCTATTTAATGATCATAGGCAAGTAACTTGGTAAAATTAAGCTTCAATTCTATCTACAAAACAAAAATTTACTTACAAGCTCCTCCTAGCTATGAAAAAAAAAAACAAAAAAACTAAATCTATACTTGTTAAGCCATCTTTCTGAATTACTTCCAATTTCAAAATCTACCTTTCAGGAAAGATTATAAATTCAGAATACAGCAAATTTATTTACCAAGTACTTCATGTAGTTCTCAATAAACGAACAAACAAAAAATACAAAACCAAACAAACAAAAAATCTGAAGTTTTAAACCAGGAAGGAATACTGGTACAATCTACAATTATCAGATTTAAAAATGAGTTTTCCTGAATCATTTGATCTGGAAACCTGAGTAAATCCATAAAAAGCATTTATCCTTTAACTAAAGTACCTTTAGCTTCTTTCATTATTTGCTAGTTTGATTTTATAATTTCAGTATATTTTCATTATACTATGTGTACATTTTTATGGAAGATCAAGGTATTGATCAAATCAATGAAGACACTATATTTACAAGTATAATCTGAACATAAACAAGAATGACACTCCACACATTTTTCATGTGTTACAATTATCAATTAAATGACCTAACAATGTCAGTAAAATTTTCTGAAGCATAACTCACATTAATTTAAGTGTCTGAAAATTTAGTATTACTTAATAATACAATGAAGCTTAAAAATGTCTAGTTTTTTCCTCGTTAAGATACTAACATTATGATTCTTTATTAGATGAAAGTTTAAGAAAAAATATTCTTTTAAAAATAAAATTTATTATTTAAAATTTAATTAGCTATAGATGCTCCTTGTAAAATGCCAACATTTTTAGAGATCTCTGAAGATCTAAAATCTCATATGCCTATAAAATGCTTTTAGTTTATATATACATATGTATATCACACATATGGTATGTAGTATTTACTTTCTAACAAAAGACTGAGAATTTATTAAAATTGAGAACATCATCTATCATGTGTCAGGTATGAAAAATAGCTAGGAGCAAATGTTCTGACTAATCTCAGAGATATGGAAAGGAACAGATGTATCATTGCTACTATCTAAAAAGATACATATTTTCTGTATTTTTGTCATAAAGCCATGTATTAATAGTTACAGTATGTAAAGAGTTCCACATTAAAAAGCACATTGCTACTATGAGGTATCACAAAGATACAGAGCTGTAAAAGTTGGGTGTCTAAGGAAACAGAAAGAAGGAAAGCAGGCAAGAAAGAGAAAAGACACTAAAATAAAATGAAAACATATTTATGATCTAATTGTTCAAAACCATGTTTTAAGCATACTGTCGGCATAAATATACTCAATCTAAGGACATTACCTTGTTTTTGCTAGTGTAGCCATCAACTTCAGTTACTTTGTGGCATTCTTTCAAGCATGTGTGATTTTGACAATCTAAGATTCTTCCACAAACTCTCTTACAGGAGTAGGGCCCTACAGCATGGCATGGTAGTGGACTCACCTTTTAAAAAAAAGAGGAAATTAGTTATAAGACACGCAACGCACAGTCACAAAACCTTCTATTTGCAAAATGCATCTGCTATCATTTCAGAATAAACTTCACAAATCTTTTATTAAAACCAAAGTGATCTATCAAAAAGCACCTCGAAAAATACATGTTAAGAAGCAAAACATTATATTCCTGAAAGAGAAATTCAGTAAGTACATATAATGAATAGAGGCTAATTTTCAAATAAAAACATTATCTATTTTTAAAATTAGTATACAAATTCTTTTTATACTAACTCTGAAATATAACAGTTAGACTTTTATTTCCAAAAACTCTAATATGGACCAGGTATAGATAATGAAGATTAAAAATTATGCCTATAGCTCACCTCATGTTTCCCAAGACATTCCCTACAAAGAAAAAATGAAAACATTGTAATTGCTCCACAGACAATATCAAAAGCAAAGATGCTAACTCTGATAGTTTTATTGAGTAAAAAATAAAAAATATAAATGGAAATAAGTGAATGCAATAAAGTCACAGGACATAAGGTTAAGACATAGGACAATTCTTTCCCCAATATAAACAATTAGAATTTTAAATTAGTATCATAACACTATTATATTGGCACACACAAATAAAATATTAGGTATAATAAATGTAAGGCCAAGATTAGAAAAACTACAAGATGCTTAAGAAAAAAATAAGTGTAGACTGGTGTTGCCACTGTGGAAATCACTATGCAGATTCCTCAAAAAATTAGGATTGGAAGTCCCAGGAGGGGAAAACGAAAATGTCCTATCACAGCAATGTATGTACACCCATGTTTATAGCAGCATGATTTGTAATAGCTAAATCTTGGAAACAATCAAAATGCCTATCAACTGCAGAATGGATGAGAAAGATGTGCTATTTTTATACAAAGGAATATTACTAAACTATAAAAAGAATGATCTTGAGGCTTTTATAGGCAAATGGAAGCAACTTGAGACTGTACTCATAAGTGAAATAAATCAGACTCACATTTGTAAATATCATATTGTCTCTCTAGTGTAAAAAATAAATAATACCGAAAGTTTAAAGAATTTACACCAATCCTTATGGAAGGATACTTCCAACTAATTCAGTGGGGCTAGTATTTCCTGCGTACTAAAGTCAGAGAAAAGTATCTCAAGAAAACTACAGATCAATATCCTTTATGAATACAGAAATAAAAATTCTCAATAAAATAATAGCAAATGGAATTCCACAACATATAATAAGGGTTATATACTATGAGCCAGTTGGGAGAAACTTGTAAAAGCAAAAGAATTAGGCTGGCTTTTAAAAATAGAGAAACAAAAATTCCCTCTTTATAAAATGAGGACCAGCCGGGGATACAGCTCAGTGGGAACAGTACCTGCCTGGCAAGTGTGAGGTCCTGAGTTTAGGATTCCCAATGCCCCCCCCCCCCGAAAAAGATAAATGAGTAAATAAATAAATAACAAATTGAGTACAGGCCAGGCATGGTGGTGCACACCTGTAATCCCCGTACTTAGGAGGCTGAGGCAAAAGGATCGCTGTTAAGTTTAAGGCCAGTCTGGGTTACCAAGTAAGTTCAACTGAACTGCACAGTGAAACCCTGTCTCAAAAAAAAAAAAAAAAAAAAAAAAAAAAAAAAATCAGTTGTTATGGTTGATACATTCTGTCAATTTTAAAGCTTAACTAAGAGACTCAGCAGGGAGGCAGGAACCTTAGTTTGTAAATATCCTCAACCTGTGCAAGAGGAATACGCAGAGATTTTGTGAGTGCTACACTCTCCCAGGTCAGGGAGGTGGCCTGTGTACAATATAAGGGAGGAAAAGAGGTTTGCTCTAGTCCCTCTTTTGTTCTAGCTCTTTTTTCTGGATGCTACCTTGAAGCCTTGCCCCTGTGCATTGCCATCCTGCCTGGGAGCCAGCTGATTATAAACTAAAGCCTTCACAAAGAGTGAGCTAAATAAATCTTTCCTTCCTTCACTTTGGGTGATGGGTATTTTGTCTCAGGAATGAGAGAAAAGTAACCAAGACAGAATTTGGTACCAGAAGTGGGGTTGTTGCTGTGACTATACCTGACCATGTGGTTCAAGAGCCTTTGGGAATGGCTCATGAGAAGAGTTTGAAAAAAGTTCGGAGACATCCCCTGAAAGAGTAGCCCTAGAACAGTTTAGGTTATTCTTTATAGGAGATTCTAGTCAGAGCTCAGAAGACAAGAAAACCAATATAGACCAGGCTCATGAGCTTTCTGCTGAGAAGAAGGATACACTGGTTGTTAGATTCCAGATGTGTGTTATGGCTTGATGGAAGGTTTGTCTGCATTTTGCTCATGTGCAGAGTCTTTGCCTGAAACTAAGATTAAGGACAGCAGACTAGTTAATCTAGCAGAAGAAATCTCAAGGCAGTTAAATGTTGAGGCTCTGACATGGATATTATTGGGCTTTCAGCCAGATTTATGTTAGAAATCAAGAACCAAGAGCCCAGCAGCATGCTTTAGAACATTGTGTGCTTGGCCAGAAAGGAAGCTCCAATGAAGCTGTGGACTGCAAAGACTGAGCTGAGGAAATCTCAATTGTTAAAAGGGAACAAAAGAATAAAACAGATGGCCTGAACACACCACAAAAAGCAATTCTTGAACCTCCGCAGCTTCAAAACTGCAAAGGTAACTTTACTTGGAGAAGAAAGCTGCAGACCACCACAGTTTAGAATGGTTGTGGTAGCCACACCAGGTTCCAGAATGGCAGTGGCATAAAGAATCTGTTCCTCAGAATCAGGTTCAAAGTGCTCAGTGATCCAGGCACTAGACCCCTACAGCCAAGAGAGAGGAAAGCATGGTTGGTCACTGCTCCAACTGGCAGCAACACTCAGCATCATCCACCTAGCAGTGTATACAGAATGCACAAGTTGTAAGGTTAAAAAGGCTTCCATTCCAATTTTAGAAGGCCTGGGAGGCCAACCAGTGTGTCCCTAAGAGGGCAGTACGTGAAGCTGTGAATGCGAAGCCAAAGATGCAGTGGAGACCCCAGCAGTTTGAAAAAAACAGAACGTGGATCATCTCAACAAAGTTGCAGGGACTGGGCAAAGCCAGCCTAAAGGAAAAGCCGTGGAATCTGTAACCACCAGAAGTGCCATACAGTTGTCATTAAAGTCTTTGGAGCTCAAAACCAGATTGCTACAGATGCTGGATGTGGATTTAATAATTGCCCTGCTGGATTTTGGACTTCCTTTAGTCCCATTCCTTTGTATTCCCATTTGTACTCTTTGGAATAGGAATGTTTATCTTGTGCCACTGAATGTTGGAAGTATTTAACTTTGTTTTCACTTGTACAGAGGCTTGCAGCTAAGAGTTTGTCTTGCATCTTAGAAGAGACTTGAGATTTGAACTTTTCAGCAATGCTGAAACTGTTAGGACTTTGGTAACTCTTTCAGATAGACTACACAGACTATGTAAAATGTCTTTTATATAAAGGGATGTGCATGAGTCTTTTGGGGACCAAGGACAAAATGTTATGATTCTAATGAAATATAATGTCGATAGACTTAATGCTAGTTCTTAAGGATTGTTAAACTGTGTTACAATGTCCAAATTGCAAAATGTTGCAAAATGTTAGGAATAAGCATGTCTTGTATCTGGAAACTGTCTACAAATATACCTGCTTGCCAAGTTGACAAGGGGTGAATTAATACATTGTCAATTTGAGAAGTTTAGAAGTTTAACTAGAGACTCAACAGGGAGCCAGGATCCTTACTTTAGAGATTTTGTGAGTGCTACACTCTCTCCGGTAAGGGAGGTGGCCTATGTACAATATAAGGGAGAAAAAGAGGCTTGCTCTTTTGGCCCCTCTTTTGTTCTGCCTTCTTTTCCTGGATGCTACATTGCCCCTATGCACTGCCAGCCTGCCTGGGAGCCAGCTAATTATGGACTGAAACTTCCACAAACAGTGAGCTAAATAAATCTCTCCTTCTTTCATTTTGGGTGATGAGTATCTTGTCCCAGTCATGAAAGGAAAGTAACCAAGACATCAGAACAGAAGACATATCAATGTCTTCTGTTTGGAGATTTGGAACTTTATCTGTATATAACAGCCCTTGTAGTTTTATGTTGATTCCTAGAATTCTACATGTCCTTTCCCTACAATCCATAGCCTAAAAATATGAAACATTCTGAGATTCCATATTCTCTGGGTTCAACTCCGTATAGCTCAATCCTCATCACTCCTCAGCCTCTCTGGGAAACTACTTTCTTTCATTTCCAATGTATTCTCTAAACCCTCTTCCCTTCAAGTAAGCCATGTAAAATCTAGCTTCCAATTGTCTTAAGGGAGCTGGCCAACCTAGTTCAGAAATCATCAGGAAAAATAACAAACCATGAGACTTCCAGCTGTGTTTTTGTAACTGCTAGCACAAGCTGTGACGGAACTCCAGCTGAGAAAGAAGACTCAAACACAGATATCCATAGGAGGTTTATAAGCAGTAGAGCAGATATAGCTAAAAAAAGAATGAAGTGAACACAATAACTAATTTATAGATCAGGCCTAAAATAATGTAAACTAAATTAGACAAAGCAGAATGGTTGACTTAAAAATGAGACCATGCCAAGTTTTGCATTTTTTTTTAAATAAAAAGATTAAAATTGTAGCCAGATATGTGGTCATGCCTATAATGCCAGCACCAGGTAGCTGAGGCAGGAGGAGGGCTGTGAGTTTGAGGCCAGCCTGGGCTAAAAAATGAATTCAAGGCCAGCCTGAACTACATAGTGAAGCCTTGTCTCAAAAAACAAACAAACGAGATTAAAATTCTAATACTTACAGAGGAATTGGAACTTGACATGGAGGACAAGGTAATGCAGTCTCAATAAATGCTGGTTCAGAGGACTGTTCCCAAGGTCCTGTAGGCTGGTGCTATGAATAAAATGAAAATTTAAAATCAGAAAGATTAAATCATATGTCCTTTAGAAGAATCTAACAAAACAGTTCCCATGTATCTCCTGCTCAAGTAAGCAGAAATGTTTTCAAGTAATCAACAAATTAGACATAGTGAAATATTTTATTCCATCTCTATTACATTAGATTATTCCCCTCCACACATATTCCATATTAAAGAAGATTCTAGTTTTTAAAAGGGAACACAAAGACAGTATAACCTTCCTCTCCTTTTACAAGCCAAAAGGCAAATGAGAAGCCTTTTGGCTTATAAATTCAACAAACGTACCAGCTGAATTAATCTCCATTGTTTTATTCACTGTTGTTTATCACCTTGACACATAGTAAAGGGCTTAGTACGCACTAGACAAGTAAATGAATCTCTAAAAAAACTAAGAAATATTTATAAATCTATAACCTTTAACCACAAAACATGATGGAGGCCTGATAAATTCATCTAAATAGTAATTATAATATGATGATCACTACATGTGCAAACATTTGCTCGTTTCTCTCCTTTTCTATACTATGAGCTTTTTTTTTCTATGCTAGGGACTGAGCTTAGGTACTTATGCATACTAAGTACAGACTAGGGACATATACTAGAAACTCTTTTAAGAATCATATTATGCTACATACTTGTATCCAAAAAGTCCTTAATCATTGTTTATTGAATGACTAAGTAAATCAAGAAAATACATCTCATCTCTTACCCGGCCAGTCTGCTTTACTAATGCTTGATCATGACATGAAGCAGGACACAAGTGACCACATTTCTCCAAAACTTTTTTGCAAGGTTGATGGCAAGGTGGACAAGGACCAAAGTGACAGCGATGTTTCTCTCGGCTTGTATGATGACATGTTGGTGGTCGACTAAATTATAAAGTACAAATTTAAAGTTACTTTTGATCACTGAACAATTAAACCTGAACTGTAATAATCTACTTATTTATCTTCTGAGTGCAAGTAGAATAAGCATATTGCGAATATTTTAATACATTAAAGCAAAATTGAAATATTAACATTAAAAATGGATACAAATTTAAATGGTAAGATATCAGACATAGATCAGTCAAAGTTCATACCAACCTGCACAGCTCTTTGCATTTGGGTGGTTTTGTGGTTCGTTCTCGACCACAGGGCACTGTCAACTTTGCGTTACCACAATTGCATTTCACATCTACAGTTTCTGGGCATGGATAACAACTGCCTAAAAGAAACAGTGTGCCACTTAATAAGTTACCTTAATTACTAAGTATCATCAGTGATAGAATCAATACATTTAATACACAGTATTTGTAAAATGCAAGAGCCTACAAGAATGACAAAATTTACAGCAGTATGAATGATTCTTGGTACATGATAATAATAAGAACAAGCCATATACAAGAAACAATGTAGTATATGATTCCATACTCATAAAGCAAATAGGAAAAGCTACTTTTTACTGTTCAACATCAAGATAATGATTATCAGGGACAGAAGGAGAGTTTTAGAAATGCTGATAATGTTCAATTTAATTATCTGTGTTCCGGTTACACGGTTATGTTCAGCTTAGAAAATTTCACCAAATCCTGTACTTATAATTGATATATTTTTCTATTCTAGCACCTCAGTAAGTTTTATTTAAAAGTTTTTAAATTCCTTAGAACTTAAAGTTCTATTCTAAATAACAAACTTAACCTTTTACCCATTCAAAACTACAACAAACAACTCTTTGAAAAATATAATACTAATAATAGTATTTTTGCCTATTTACATACATACTTTTATCTAAATGTACTGTTTTTAGATCATGCCCTACACACACAAGTAGGAAAAACTTCTCCCTTGTGATCCACTGTTGGATATTACCAAGTACTTTTAACTTTCATTACTTGTGCTTTCTGAAAGACTAAATTCTAAACCTTCATTTACGTCATGATTCCAAATATTTCTCTTCTAAATATTTCAAAAAGAAAAGTTGCTTCAACTTTTCTCATTTGCTAAACCTTCTGAAACAGGTTATAAAATTGTCCCTAAGAAGATCTGACATCATCTCAATGGCTTCCTTCCCACTCTTAATTTTCCCAGTAAGGAACTCCATTAGAAATGAATAAGCAATAAGTAAGAAGCTCCATTAAGGAGAGGAAATAGTAAAGAAACTGCTATCTGGGTATTAAGGAAAATAATGCTCAATGTTTATCCTAATAAAAAATTATTATTATTATGGGCAATATTCTGGTCTTTTGCCTCCAAAAGTCAAAAATAGCTCCTGATAACAATTAAGAATTTTGATTCAAATAATGAGGAAAAGGCATCATAAAAACACAACAAAGATAACAGTTCTTACATTGCTAAACTTTATTTCTTAATCTTTTAACAAGTACAATCCAATATTTTGTTTTGTTTTGTTTTGTTTTGTTTTGTTTGGGTACTAGGGATCAAACTCACAGCCTTGCACTTACCAGGCAAGCGCTTGAGCCCTAAATCCAATAGTCTTATCTTGATGATAATACAAGCCGAATTATCTAGACCTACATAACCAATTTTTATTTTGATCTTCCCTAAAGAATTAGATGTTACAATTTTTAAGCTAATAGTGCATTTAAGTCCATGCATGCTCGTTCAGCAGGTTAAATCAGTACCTGCACCTAAGGATAATTTTTCACTCATCTTTGGCAATTCAAAATAACTTATCGAATATGACATTTTTGCTACCCTAAAACTACAGCATCACTTTTTAAAATCTTAAAAATTATAAGGAATAATTTCCCTAAGTAGTCTCCCTACTGATCCACAGAATCTATTAGAGATCCCTGCATAAAAGATACTAATTAAATAGTCTCCATAGTAGTATTTTCAAAATTAAAAAGCAGGATGCAAATATAATGAGCACTGGTCATAGTCAAAATGGGCAACATTCAAGTAATTTCAGAACCATAAGCACAAATGACCTTAAAAGAACTAAAAGTCACATTTTCATAAAATCATTAAGTAAATATGTGATTAGTATTTCTCCTTATGAATAATAGTATAATTCTGATGAAGCTATCTTGAATGATGAAAATGGTATAAAAAGTGGTTCCAAATATTAAATAAAAATGTAATATAAATTAAATAAATGATCAGAGTTGTACAACAGTATTTTCCAAAAAAATTTTTTTGGAGTTCAAGCTTTTTTTGAAGCTAACATTCATTATCTTAGAAAATACACATTGCCAAAAATATAGAACCTAAATTTAATCAAATCTTTAGAACCAATTAAGAATTTATAGAAAACGTGAAGAACAAAGATACGTGTTAAATAAAACAGGTATACAACCTGCAAAATTCAGACCAAGAAACCAAAGAAAGCAAATCTCTTCAAGTTAGAAAAGAAAAAATACTGATGAAACAGGAAGACTATTAAGAGACTTCAGAGACATATCACCAACTGTGGCATACCAATATTAGATTTCTGAGTCACACAAACGGCAGTAAAAACACAAAGACATCTATGAGATAGATACTTAGAACTTGATCTTCAGATATTTGCCAACATGAAATTACTTTTAGATTTAGGATCCATCTTTTACAAATAAACAAAATGGGAGAATGTGTTTAACACTTCCCCACTACACACATTTGATCTAGTCTTTCTAAAGTTCTCTTATACTTCTAGCGTATACATGGATGTTGGATTTTACCAACCATTTTTTAGACATTTACCTAGAATGATCTATTTCCTCCTTTAATTGGTTACCATGGCAAATCAGTATTACACTAATAGTAAACCACTCATACAGTATCAAAATAAACCCAACTTTGTCATGACAGACTAAAGATTTGGAAAATTAATACTCTAGTATAGTAGCTGGATTTGAATGGCTAAAACTTTAAAAATTTTTACCAATTAAGTTCACATACTGACTTGCAATTTTCTCCTACTTTTCTTGTCAAAAGAAGCAATGAGTTGGGCATTTTTTTTATCTATACTCTCAAATAATATAGGAAGAATTATTCATGCTATATTTATTAGTTACACATCACATAAAAATTAAATAGGCCTGCTACAAGCAGTCAGGTTTCCCACATAAAGGCCAGTGTTTTAGCAATGTGTCCATTAGACTCTATCCATATTCTCCTTCCCCCAGCCACCCCCAATCCTACTTCCATTGCCTTATTCCCACCCTATGTCCCCTTAGCACACTATCCACTCTGCACACTGCTCCCCAACCTGACACACTACCTCACACTCCTCCTTCCATGGGGCTTGATCCTCGACTTCTTTCAGGTCTCCCTCGAATGTCATCTTTTCAGAGTTCTCTCCTTTACACAGATTTTAACAGAGTACACAACCATTCCCACTATCACAACTATACTCCACCTTTCTTTTAATAATTGTCCACCACCTAATGGTTATACCAATTTATTCATTTGGATTTTATCAAGGAGATTAAAAAACTAAGTTCCACAAGAACAAGGACTGTAGCAACTTTGTTCATAAAACACCAGTATCTGATACTTAGTAGATGCTCAAGATGTCACTGTAATAATTTAGGACACAATTTTTAAAGCATGGTCTAGAGACACTAAGGTCCAAGACCCATTCAGGGAAGCCACAATGTCTCACACACATAAAACAGACTGTCCAGGGCTGGAGATTTAGCTCAGCAGCCTAAGCGCCTGCCTTGCAAGCAGGTAGTCATGAGTTCGATCCCTGGTACTGATAAAAACGAAAAAGACAAAAAAAAAAAAAAAAAAAAACCAGACTGTCCAGATAATAGTAACAAGTAGCATCACAGAAGACTCAATGAAGGAGCAAGCACATGAATCCAAGTACCCTCTGCTAAGCAAGATAGTCAAGATATTTGCAAGAATACCATTTGTACTTTTTTTCAGAAAAAATGAGAAAAGTCATTTGTATTAATATGAAATGAGATTATCTGTACTTAAAAGTGTATTTTATTTGAATATCAAATACAATGTCAGTGAATAAAACCATGTAACAATAGTTTCGTGCCAGAGTCACAAAAACAATGAAGTTCATGAGACTAAACTATGAAAGAACCATTCCTTGGATATATCCAATCCCGTACTGAGGGCCATATAATGTATAAAATTCAGAATACAATTGAAAAACCTGTGAACATCTTAATTCTCCCATAGAAACTGGGTGGGGAAGGCTAAAGGAAAGCACAGAAATAACAGTGTTATAGAAAGAATAAAACTTATATTCAGAAGATTTGGGTTCAAATTTATGTATATTGCTATATTAAATATTTCCCAGAGTAATTCGTGGATCCTTCTTTAACTTAACCACCTTATCCATAAAATAGGGGGATTGCCAAAATCTGCATACATCTCTCTCTGAAGGTTATTAGGAGGACAAATAAAGTAATGAATGTGAAACCTCTGTATCACTAAGTAAATACAAATATAAAATTATAGCTATTGTTAAATTTACCTCTGTGGCAGACAGACGGACACTTATGGTTTCTACATCCTAAAGTCCGTCCACAGTTTTGATCACAAGGTGGACAGTTCCCAGGGCAACACTGAAGAAAAAGCAATATATAAAGAATAGGTAATTTGAAAACTCATGCACAATGTGAATGTCATTACAAAGTATTCTCAAAACTTATGGAAAGTAGAAGATATTTCTTTTCAATAAGAATGAAAATATTCAAGAATACCAACATTCTTCTGGGAAGCTGACATCCTATATTAAAAATTGCCAAGTTTAAATAGACAATGATCTAATTTAATAATATCAAACTAAATTTTATTGCCCTTAAGTTAATGACTCTGATGACTTAAAATATTTCCATGAGACAATTTCATTTAACTATTTATGTAGAGATTCACATTAAGAATTGGGTCTAATCAAATGCCACAGGCAATATAGGAAACTGACCTGGCTATTTTTATAAATTTAATTAAAACTATTTCAATGTATAGATTAGTTTGGCAGTTAAAGAGAAACAAAGATAGGCTACTGGTATGTATCTATCTTTCTCTGTCATGGCTCTGATTTCCATTGTGAGAAATATAGCTACAATCTATACTAATTTTCATTCATGAACCAGGCAACTACAATACTGCCTAATTCCTTACTTGACTTCTCTGTATGTATCCAAACTTGGGCAAGTATATACAGACTACAATATTGCACTAAAGAAACTTAGGATTGTATCTCACTGAAAAACAAGTTCTATACGTAGCAATTAAAAGCCAAAACTGTTCATTCAATTAGACACTTACTGAGTAACTCTGTCCCTATCACTCTCTCAGTGGCAGTAGAGGAAAATGTCAGATGGTCTATGATTTAATTAAGCCTATGGACATTTCTGTTTCTAAACATGGTAAGAAACAAAGTACCAGATCTATTCTCTTGTTGCAACTAGAACACCACATAAAAGATATGAAATTAGTTTTTAGAGAGAATAGCAGAAAACAGTAATCCTTGAGAGAAGAGAAACCCATAAAATGAGCCTACAAAGGCATCAGCATAGACCTAAAGGTTTCCAGGCTAAAGGTTTTCAAGGTTTCAAGGTTCCAGGAGGAAGATCACAACCAGAATCTGATAGTCTCAACAAGATAAGCACATAAAACACACAGTTCAGGGAGGTCAAGGTGGCTAGAATTCATAGTGAAGAGGTAGAGTATAGAGAAAACTATCTAGAGGTTTCCAAATTAGTCTTTGCCCAACTACTGATCTACACATATATGAGAAGGAAATGATCATGCCAACTATTGGAAGGAAAATACACAGACGCTACAGAGGGCTGGAAATAGTTTGTTTTTATAGTCAAAGTGGAAGAACTTCCTGAGACATAGGCTTCAAGCAGAGTACTTTAATTACTGCCTTCAATTACTGAGGTTAAAACCATCTTAAAACAAAAGGATTCTTTCTTCACACCTAATAGTATCAAGGCCTGGAAAGAAAGGATCAAGTGGTTTCTGAATTTAATCCCAGAACAAACCTTAAAAATATTTAGAGGAATACAAAAAAACTAGCATCTGAAAATATAAGTTCACAAAGTCTGAAATACAACCAAACATGAAAATCCAAACAAAGGAAATACAAAAGTGAAAGGTTATTAATCAGTAGACAAAGACATTAAAGTTGGTATTATAAATATATTAATTATATCAAAACAAAAAACACTGGGTAAAATAAAAAGCAGGTTAGATGATCAAAAAGAAAATAGGTGAATTTAATACCAAACTATACAAACTAATTAAAACATACAAATTAAGAGAACTATGAAATAACGCATCTATGAGTTGTGGGACTTCATGCAGCATATAAAACATTTCATCAAAGTCTCAGAAGAGGACAGGAAAAGGAAAATAGGAAATCTCTAAGACAATAAAACCAGAGGGAAACCTGAATCTATACAAAAATGAATAGCATCAATAAATATACACATGGTGATAAAGAAATTTTTCTTATTTCAAATTCTTATAAAAAATAAAGCAAAAACAAAAAATTATGCATTTTTCATAAAACACGATACAAAATGTGTGAGAATTATTTATTTTAGGTCACGTGAAAGAATATACAATATATTAAAAGCTTCTTAAAGGACTTCATAAAAAAGCTTAAAACAAAAGAAAAAAAAAGGTTATAGTTAGTAAGTAATGCAGATAAAATGGAATTAATGAAAAATAGCACTTCAAAATTAATAAGACGAGAAAGGAACAGAAGGATAAATAGCAAAATGTCAGACTTAAATTCTGCCATAATAAAGTTCACACTACAATATGTATGGTCTAACTATATTAAATAACAAAAACTGTTAATTTGGATAAAATAAAATCTACATGGTGTCCTAAAGGAAAAAATTCAAAACATTTAGTCTCCTAAGCTTGTTACACATACCTTTCTCCTGCACTGATGTTTCTGACAGTCACGCATCTTAACACATTTAGTTTCACACAGATACGGTTTATGACATGGCATTCGTTTTGTATGCTTCCCACAGCGACACTGCTTTTCCACTTCCTGGAATAACCAAATGAATGGCATTAAAACTGAGCTTTTTAAGTATGTTACTTTCCCATGTTGCAGTTTTTGTGGTTACTAAATCATCATGGACAAAAATCTTAATAGTAAGCAGTATGAAAGATTACCAAAACCAAATCTCCTAAAATGTATCTTACTTTGTTCTAAAAACTACTATGATTTTGTCACTAAATTTAATAGAAATCTAACATTTTAGTAGTAAAAAAGATAATACACATTAAAATCATCTACATTCAATTACAACCATAATATCCTCCTTGTCATAGCAAGGAGAACTGGATTATCTAGTAAGCTACATTGTTGACCCTGTACTAAGGTCCTAAATGATATATATAACTAGAGTACAAAACCTAGGAATTTGTTTCTTTCTATCACTGCTCTGAATGTCTTCTGGGAACAAACAACTCCACACTGGACTACAAAAATAAAAACATTAAAATTTTACCAAGCAAAAAGGTAATATTTAGATTTGATTGTTGGCATACTCTACTGCTTTCTTACCATAAATATCAGATCATGAAACTTATGCAGATCATTATATAGATTGATATAAAAGTGAGTAATAGAAAACAGTAACAGGACAATCTTAGTGATAAATTATGTTAGGTAGCTCTTAAAAGCATGATCATTACTAACTTGTCTACATGTTTCACAAGGACCTCGGTGACAACGTTGTGAGCATCTATGAATTCCACACTCCAGGACTTTGTCACAACTGTCTCCACAAGTTGGTACATCTTCTGTACATGGCAAAGAAAACTCTAAAAGTAAACAAAACGTCAATGTTAATAAGACACACTATTAAGCCTAGCAAACTGTCATATTCTTTAACCTCCCTAAAGACTGACTGCCCTTTCAAGCTATGAAGTTTTGCACACATAACTGCTGGAAAAGATTACCTTTAATGAAAAAAATACCTAGTATTTGTGAAAGTTATGCTTTAAAAAAAGAATTTTGGCAAATTACAAGTTCCCACTCTTAAGAAATATTTTTATGGATTATTCAAAAATAGTTATCTAAAGATAATTATGTAAAACTCATGAGTTTTCATAATATACAGAATTACTCTTTTTGAAATTTGTTCTTAACTACACTAGACATGGAAGATAAAAATTTTAGATTATAGAACTCAAATGTATTCAAAACTAGATTTTGGACTATACAATAAAGAATGAAATTAATACCAAACTTATTTGACAAGTACTCTATCACAAATAATCTTAAAAATATGAGTGTTACAGAGTCAAGGAAGCTAACTCAAATTAAAATCCAACTATGCCATTATCTTATAGCAGCCAAAAATAAACATCACCTATAACCTCACTCACAACACTGTTAACAGTACAACTTATTATCAATATCCCTCTCAGAATCATTTGTTATGACTGATGAACTTGAAATGACACATCATTATCACTCATTAGTTTCACTATCCAAAAATAATCCTCTGTGCTCTGCTTATTTTTCTCTTCTTCTCCAAAAGCCATGAAAATTATAGATCTTTTAACTATCTACATAGTTTTGACCTTTCCAGAATGTCATATAGTTGGAGTCCTGTAATATGTAGCTTTTTCAAATTGACTTGTCTCCTTGAATAATATGCATGTATGTTTCTTTCATATCTTATTATGGCTTGGTAGTCATTTCCTTAAAAGAAAGTCTTACTTGATTTCTGACATGGACAGAATCTTTTCCCAGATCGAGGACATTCTCCACAAGCACCAATGTGGCAAACTTGCTCGCAGGTATGATTACGACATGGCAATGTTTTTCCACATACCTAAAATAATACAAGCACTATTAAATGATTTAAAATTTAACAACGAAAAATGTACAAAATATAATCTATTTTCAACCAAATAATCTCTTTATGTCCCCTGCAGTATTATGGTTTACATTTTACACAGGAGTCATATGTGTCTGTATATATATGTACACACACATATATATTCTATGCACCAAACAGAATATTTTTAAAATATAATAAACGAAAAAGTACATACAGCTTTACATGGTCTTTCATCAAAGGTTTCCAAATAGTACTGAAACCAGGCCAATTATGACACAGTAAGAAACAGTTAAGGCCACACACATACTAGGCCATGGGAGCGAAGACAAGTGAACTCTAGTTATCAAGCCTACTTCTTTATTGGGATTAAGGCAAGGAGGAGGAAAAGCATTGGATGAAAAAAGGAAAGTGTAAAAGAGGAAGAATAAAAAACAGTAAAAAGTAAAAATGTACTGAATTCAAAATTAAAAACAAGTAGTTATTACTTCAACAACAATTTTTCCTTCAATAATTAAAATGTTAAATTGAAAAGCAACTCCTACCACAAGACTTAGTTCAGCTGAGTTGCTATTTGTGTACCTCTTATTCAGCTACACCTAATTAATATTCCTGGCTTCTAGTAGTTTATGCTAATACCTCTCTGAAAATGCACATACACTTACTTGATCACAGTGCCACAACGGACTTGCACAACTTCTTTCAGCTACTTTTTTGCCACAGACACATTTTTGTCTACTGACCCGTGGACAAGGTTGACAATTTCCTAAAATTTGAATCATAAATTAACATTCAAACATTACAAAAGCCATAAAAACTGCTTTGACTTTTGCTTAAAGTCAGAATACCTAACGAGTAGTGTCTTTTACCTGCATGACAAGGATTTTCACACTTATGTTGCCCACAAAGCAACTTCTGCCCACATGGCTGTTGGCAAGACCATTCCTTGGCACTGCATCGACGAGGGATGGATTTTGCTTTCTTACAGTAACATGTAGTTGTCACCATCTTTGGACAAGGAGGGCAAGGACCTAGAATCCAATGAACAAGAAAATCCAGAGAAATGCAAACTTTTAATTCCTATACCTATAAATAATTTCTAAAACTTTATTGATAAGTAACTCACCTGGATGACATAAGAGTAAACATTTATGGCCACAAGGTGGTTTAAACTGTCTCTCACATACTTGGCCACATGAGTGAGGCACGAGCCATGGATCTAAAGGTGGATCTTCTACTTTTCCACAATAGCAATAGTACCTACTAGGTGTTTCTGATCGTTTGTATTCAAACCTACATTTTGGACTATACAAAAAAAGAATGAAATTATTTAAAAAAATAAAAAAAAAAAGAATGAAATTATTAAAAGACAGAGGAATATAAATTGTATTCTAACAGACTACCTGATTTATTTCCATCTTTACATTAGTAAATAATGTAAAGATCTTATCTATTTAACCATCTAATATATCTCTGTACCATGTAATTCCCTGAGATGCTGAGACTGTTTTATACCTGCACTGTTCAGTACAACACTAGCCACATATAGCATTTGATATGTGGCTAGTACATACACATCTTCACTCAGTGAAGATCAGAATTTTTTATCTTATATTTAATATTTATATTAAATATTAAATTTAATATAAATATAATTAATTTAATTATAATATTTAAAAACCTAAATAACCACATATGGGTAGATGCACGCTTAACTAAGATACAGCTACAAAAAAAAGGAACACTAACTTTCCACCAACTACATAGAACTTATTCTTGAGTTATTCACTTAGATTGTTACAAAGCTCGAGTAAGCAACAGCAAACAGAAAAGCAGACAAGTTAAATCTGGAAAACAGAAGAGAAAATGTGAAAGTAAGGAATCTTATAATTTTCAACATCTAATATAAAATAGTTTGTATGATGAATGTGCCTGACTCAAAAAAATATTCAAACACTATTTAATATTTTCTGGTAAAGCAGAAAGATTTGCAACCCATATAAGTTCTGGCACTAAAAAATGCCAACCTCTAGCTCTATAAGAAATCTTGTTATGAAGCACAGACACTCCATTCCAAAGAGATGGCTCTAAGTTTTACTATCTCTCAAACAACTGAGTATAGTTAGTATACTACACTTAAATTTCTTCTGTATCAAAAACAATTGCTTTTATTGTGTGAGAACATGTCCTGTTGCCAAGTAAATACCACATAAATATTCAAAATGACAAAAGATATGCATGTTATTATAATTAAAAGTTAACCCCAAATACCATGTCTCATCCATTATGGATAACTGGTATTTTGTTGAAGGAGTTAAATTACTCTTTACTAAAAGAAAAACACCAGTCTTTTCAGTTATGTACTTTTAATAAGCTTCAATGTGGATAGCTAACAGGCAACTCAGCACACATAGTGCTGCCCATCAGCAAGGAGACAGAACTATTTCAGTGAGGTAAATGTAATAAGGCTTAAAGTAATAGAATGTCCACAATGAAATGCAATGATGCTATCATTACCTTGTTCATCAAGAGGCAATACTTTAGTAGAAATTAACATTTTAAATTTTTGCCATATAACTAATTTTAAACTATTAATATTTTTACCATGTTCTAACTCCATTTTGACAAGAATGAAAATGAACTATCAACTGTGGCCTTTTCTTTTTAAAAATTGTAAAATCAAATGTAAGACACTGCATGGTTGATTAAATTTTTGGCCCTTTTAGATTTAGAAGAGTAGCAGCAGTTCATTGTTCTCTTAACCAGTAACTTTCTTCTATGGCAAAGTGACTATACAAAATAGAAATAGAAATGAGAGTAAGGATGGAAAAAAAAAACACAGGTAAATATTAAATCACTAAAAATAACAAATCAGAATATCACCTTTAATCTGGCATCTATTAAGTACTAAATTTTCTTTACCAAAAAGTACATAGTATAGAGTAGCAAATACAGACTTTGAAATTTTAAATTGTTTCAAAGACACATGCATTCAATGAAGAAAAAACAAGATGTCTCTAAAATGAAGAAAAAACAATGTCTCTAAAAACAATACTGTAAGACAAAATTCAGTTAGAAAAATAGACAAAGCACTAAATTTAAGTCAGAAATTCTAGGTTTCAAATCCTCATTCTACTTCAACATCATCATGGGTAACAGGCAAATAAAATCTCTGATTAGCCAGAATTATTCTTACAAAGTAATTCATATGTCTGAGATACTTTTTAAAACTACACCATCATGATTTTACAGATTTATCAGTAGTATGAAAAGAAAGGAGGTCTGATGTAGGTGCAGCTTTTGTGAAGACTAAATCTTATACAATTTGGGGGTATCTGTTAACAAATAGAACATGAAATTATAAACATAAAATTAGTTACAAAAGTTAGAAAATGTGAACATATAGATACCCTGAGCTTATGTTTTATTACCTTAATAATCTACCCCTTTGTACTGTGAACATGTATAAATTTTTATTGACATTTAGCAGTAATATATAATTTCCTTCCACTTCTCTTTCTCAAATATAACAAGTTTGAGATCAAATAATCAAGAATAAGTAAAATTAATAAAATAAATGTTGAAAACTTAATTGTATTAGCTAATACAACTTTTAATTTTGAAATTTTCAGAATAAAATCAAGAAGCCTATGATTAAAATGCCAGATGACAATCTCATAAAATGTGATAGTAACGTACACTATTGGGAATTTCAGACAAGTGGTACCAAATTAAGAATGGTTCTCAGTTCCACATAAAGAAATTAAGTCCTTTGAAAGCATAATTTAAAAGTTGCTTTGCTAGAAAAATTATGAATGATTTGTAAATTATTGAAAGGAACTAATAGCTACACAAAATGAAGGCGAAAAAAAAGGCTATCAAGATGTTGAGATGTCATAGCTTCTTTTTTTTTTTTTTGTCTTTTTCCTTTTTATCGGTACCAGGGATCAAACTCACGACTGCCTGCTTGCAAGCAGGTGCTTACGCCGCTGAGCTAAACCTCCAGCCCCTATGGTCATAGCTTCTTAAGCCAAATGACCAATTGAGGCTAAACATGAAACTTTCAATATGGCAACTTAATATTCTACAATTTTCATTTATTTTGCAACTTGAAATTTGAAAAGGTTACCAAGGCCAAGGATAATCTCTCGTTCCAAAATCATCATCTGTCAGAGAAGACAGAAGAAACTGGCTATCTTTAGCCCACTTCTGGATACAAGGCATGTGAAATATACTGAAACATCCCAAACAGCTCCAAACCTAAAAGCAAAGATGTCAGAAATTAACCTGCATGCAATGATTTTTGTCAGTTCTTCAGTACTTTAAAAAAAAAAGTATCACGCTGAAGTATTTTTGACCTAGTGATTAATAAAGAATAATTTTACCTTCTTTACAATAAAAGAAATATAATTTATAAAAATATATGTAGGTATAAAATACTTAAAAGAAAAATATCATTAATCACCCAGAGTTAATCAACTAGAAATAACTACAGTTGGAATTCTGGAAGTCTTCATTTTCTTTATAACATACCTATCTTCCTTTTTAAAAATGAAGTGATAGTGGAACACACTCATGCTTTCTGTTTTATTATGGTATAAGCTTATATTTTTACCAAATTATGTTCATACAACATGAAATTCATAGCTTTACAGGATGGCAAATCTTTTAGAGCATTCAATAATGAACAGCCCGCTGCAGCACACGTGCCATAATTTTGCCACCATTGCAGTATGTCATAGACTCATGTACCATAATTTAACTTCTTGTTGGAACTGTAACAGGACAAAAAGAATCCTTAATATGCACATATATCTTTACATAGTCTTTTTAATAAAATCTACTAGTCTTATACTTTAGTGCTAAATTCTAAAAAATTAAGTGAGCAAAAAATGAAAATAATGTAAAACTGAAAAGTTTAAGAATTATTTCTTGCCAGGCGTGGTGGCTCATGCCTGTAATCCCAGCACTCGGGAGGCTGAGGCAGGAGGATCATTGTGAGTTCCAGATCAGCCTGGGCTACAAAGTGAGCTCAAGGCCGCCCTGAACTGCATAGCAAGACCCTGTCTCAAAAAGACAAAAAAAAAAAAAAAAACAGTTATTTCTTAAAGCCTACCAACACTAATAAAATGACAAGTCACTTTTTCTTTTCCTTATATTTTGCAACTGCCTAAAGTAATCAAGAGATATCGTATAAACTGGCAAAGCTTATACAAAAAGTTGCCAACTTCTTGGTTTGAGTCCACCCCAACAAGTGCCTGAGATAAGCACATGGATGCAAGAGACAAGATAGAGAAGAAGTTGCAAAGAAAAATTTGTGCTATTATCTTTTTGTTTATTTTTTGTATGTTTGGTTTAGGTCTTGTAGGCTGAGTAACTAATTAGTTTCAAGATGACGATACTGAAGTGTAATAACTACTGTTATTCTTTTATTATTTGGTTATGAAATTTTGTATTTTTTCATAAAATTAAAAGAAGAAATGCCAAGAAATGGTATAATGATATACTGATTTGATGCCTACTGAGGGCCACAGTTGCTCAATCTTACAGGGGCTCTCTACAGTGCGATGTAAAACATTCCTTGCAGGACTCCAGCTCCGCCCCTAATAAACAGTAATCTGAGATATTCAAATACCAATTCCCAATGCTGCGCCCACCTGGCATAAATTCCTCAGTGCTGCACCACACTTCCAGATTGGCTAAATAGATTTCTCGAAAAATACCTGAAGGTGGGCTGGAAAAACACAACCCATCCGCAAAGCAAGGGTTTACAGTGGACTATATCCACATGCAGAGAGACTGTGATCACTGCAGCTACAATCCAAATAGCCCAACCACATGTGACTGACCACCAAAATATCTGCCCAACCTAAGCAGCTTAAATTTCTGATTTTCTACACTGTTTTATCTAGCCTGATTTTCTTTCTCTAGGCAACAAAGCTATAGTAGCAGTGGATTAATCTTAAGTCAAAAAATTGAATGTGTCATATTTAGTTGTTACTCCTCTTTGAGTTACTTAATGCCCTTTTAAATTCTCACATAGATAACTTCAAGGACATGAGTTATTATATGTTTTTATACTCAATGACCTGTCACTTCTGCAATGCTATCAACACAGGAGAAACAAAGTATCACCGCCAAGTTCTAATTCCTTGTTCTCCAACTCACAGAAAGTAATGTAATACAGTGTATTTTAACATTGCATATTTGTATGAACTTCCAAGTATAGATAAAGAAAATGTGTTATCAGAACCACATATACATTAAAACTGATATTAGTGCTATAAAAATACAGAAAGCTCAATTAGAGATTTTTTTTTAAATTTCATGTTTATAAAGATCAATTCATACACGAAATTCTCCAGTGATGCATTTTTTGTCAATATAAGCAAAAGAAAAGAAGATGGCTAATTGTTACCAATGCAAAATAAAGTATTTCACAGAGGTGCATTTATATTGATAAGGAAAAACTTACTGCTTGGCTTCTCTTCACTGAAGCAATACAAATTAAGCATGTCACAGCTCCTGCTTGAAAAGCTTCATTTACATATTGTTTTGTTCGCTCTAATTCACGTGTATCTCCATCTTGAAATGTAAAAATTGAAAATCTCATGTTAAGCAACAACTGGAAACAACACAAATTCATTACTGCTATCATACTAGGTGCCACATGTCAAACAATATTAATTGCTCAAAATGTGTCTAAAAATAAGAAAGTTTAAAGGAAATACCCAATAGTTGTTAAGATGTTACAAAGTCCATGAATTATTTTATAAACTTGGTTCAAAATCTGTATCTCAGCTCTCTCTCGGCATGTACTTAGTTTTCTTGCTGCTAAAAATAAAGTACACTTAACAAATCTGGTGGGAGCAGAACTATAGAAATATTTACAAGATGCAAAATAATAAGTGAAAGCACAAAAAAGTACAAAAGGAAATAAAAAGTTATAAATAAGATCATTTAGTGTAAACTTAAGCACAAGTGTGTATATATAAAGGGTATTTAGCATACAACATACTCTTAATAAAATCTGTCAAATGAAAATACTCAGAGGTCATTATCATACAATAACCATATCCCATTAAATTATGTTCATTATTTCAGCTAAAAAAGGTAACAAACTCTTTAGAAAAAATAGTAGTAGACTATTTATTATCACGCAATATTAAGCACTTATTCATGAGCCTTAGTATTTCTATAATATTCGTATTTCCATAGAATTAAATGAACTATTATTGTCTTCGTGTTACAGATAAGAAATATGAGAATTATTGCTTTATTTTAGAAAACATAGCTTTTAAATATCCTTAAAGCAGAATAACTATATTAAATATACTTATTTTACTTTTCAACACATCTGGATTTAACAAATTTGTATTTTAAATTTCATCTAATTTAACAGTTGATTTGTATAATTTAAAATTTAAAAACAAGATAAAGCAAGCTTTGACAAAATAAAATCTGACTTTATATTTCTAAAAGTTACATACAATTCCTGAAGTCTATATGAAAGTTGGCTGTGATAATAAAGTCTACTACTCAGCATGTCACAATGCATAGCATGGCATTTGAAGTCATGCATTTTAAAAGGATCAGTCTCACAAGTAGGAAAAAAAAGTAAAAGAAAACCCAGACTGAAAGCAGGAGAAACCAGTCAAAGGCAGTTACAGCAAGAAAAGCAAAAACTGATCTTGAGTAAGTTACTGAGTATGTCTCTGTCTTCTCATCTGTCAAGTAGTAATAACAAATACTTCACCATTAATATATGGATTTAATCCACTTTTGAACAGCTAGCTGTACAGGCCTGAACTAGGTAATCATGGTGTGCAGAAGAGGAAGGATAGATTTATGAATTTTAGGAAGCAAAACTTAGGTGGGTTTGGTGACAATTAAACTGTGTTACTTTAAAAGATTATGTCTGTATCAAGACTGAGGAAAAAAAAGAGTGCCCTGAGTTGCTTAGAATGGCAGAAGGGAAGTAGTGGTCAGTGACAACACTCAGGTCATCTATGTGCCATCTCTGCTCCCAGATTTCTGGTTTGGAAGACTGTGTACTATTAACTGAGGCAAAGAAAACAAACAAGATAAATAGGTCATTTATATATGTTGAGTGGTGGCCAAGCAAAATGGTGGCCATGCAACTTTGCAAGTTAAGAATCACAAAAGTATACAGACTATGCCAGAATAAATATGAACTTTTTTAGTAAAGTGTTGACATTCAACACGAATACAAGGTTAGGAGCACTTCAACACTGGCATTTATTGTTCCCAAATCAAGTGGTCAGAGATCTTTCATCCATAGGAGCAAAGTGCAGAAGACAAAAAGAATGAGAATTAAAATACTAATGGATGTGACACAAAACTGCATATGAAAAATAATCTTAAACAATTCACAATGAAAAATATATTAAAAACGTATAAAACTTACAAAAGATGTTCGCTAAACACTAAAAAGGTGAGACTGAGTGACCGTATTTCCTGTTTGATAATAAAACCTGCCTCTGTCTCAAATAGTGAGGTCTGCTTAAAGCACAAAACTTAAGTTTACTTTCTATAAAGTTGTCCAAAAGCAAGAAACCCTCTAATCTTAAAGTTACTATCAACGTCTACCTGGTTGAGCTACTTAGCCAAACTTCTTAATTCTTTAGAAGATATGACAAATTCCTTGGAAAACTATTTGACTCTGTGTGTCTATTCTTTTTGATCCTACCAGTATAGGTGGAACTAGTTCATTACCAAAGGTGGTCAGTGAAGTGGGTATGGAGGGAGCAACGTGTATGATCATTCTACCCAAGACTTGACTAACTCATGCTCCTGAACTGCCTTTTTTCTGACTGGAGCTCTGCTGTACTTTTTGGGACATCACTAGCTTTGTTTTTCTCAAGAAAGTACAGTAGTAATAACTAAGAAACACATCAGTAGGGAGCTGAGGTGGTCATATAATACATGGCCTTATGACCAACAGAAGATAGAATAAAAAAGAAGTTTTTTTCAAAAAGAAAATGAAAAATAAGCTACAGTAGGAAGTTTCTAGTAACCTCACAAAATATATTAAACATTATAAAAAACAAATATATAATACACACTTTATGACAAACATTACTGATTTATTTCATCCCCACCACTAGAGGGTATTTTATAAACAGAAGATACCCAGTAATACGTCAAACATCGTACAGCCAAATAGCAGACAAGATTCAAACCTGGCAGGTTGGCTTTAGAGTCCAACGTTCTTAACCATACTATACAATGCTGACTTTTCCACTATAAACAGGTATAAGAGCAACAGTCTAATCTATCTCAGCATTTTTCTGCTTTCACCTAAAAAATATGATCTACCCAGAACTGGCTTACAAGCTAAGTAAACTAAGTTTAAAACCCAGCTCTGTCATTTACTAACTGCGTAACTCTAAGAAAGTCAGGGCTGCTATGCAATTGTTTCCTAGAAAATTTCCGGGTTCTTTTAGTTTTGACAAGACCCTACAGTGACAAAAATAACTGAGGAAGAGTATAAACTTATTATTAACATAAGGTACATAAACAATTGTATTTCTACAAACATACAATAAGGATACATACACAATATTTGCATTTCAACAAGTATACAACAAATACTGATAGTACATACTAGAATATTTCTAATAGTAACTTAGGCGTAGAAATTTTCAGAATATCTGCATTTACCCTTAAAAAATCTATTTCTACAATTTAATACTAAGTCATAACAGCAGCACCATTTCACATAAACAAATGTGGCTTTAAGAGCAACCCAGATATACCTAAGAGGTAACATGAATATGTATGTCAGAGCTGAAGAGATTTACTTTAAAAAGAAAGTATGAAAATCAAATGTGATGAACATATGAAATAAAAACTACACTTACACTCTCAAAAAATGAAGAAGAGGACAAAACTTTTAACATAATGAAAAATTTAACAATGAAAAATAAACTTAAAGGGGTACAATTTGCCCCAGTTCTTGGTCTGGAGCTTTGATAGGCCCCTCCCAGCACGCCACTGAAGTGCTAATTGAAGTCATAAGGCAGTCAAAGAGCCATCACCATTTCACTTGCTTACCTGTCTGAGTAGTGTAGGTTATAAATGTTTTAGTAACTATTTTTCCCTGTTTCCCTTCAAAGTCTTCATCTCCTTCCTCTTCAGATGAAGAACTAAAATGTTCTTCAACAAGTTTTTTGGCTGCAGCTTGATTAGCTTTCTTGATTTCCTCAAATTTCCTCTGAGACATTAGCTCTGTTAAAAGGAAAAAAAATGTTTTCATTTATGCAAAACAATCTCAAAAAGTTACAGAAGACACACAAATAATGTATTTTTTTCATATGTTATTTTTAAACAAGCATTTGAAAGTCACCTCTGGGATAATCTATCTTTTTGAAGAAAAAGGTTTTTTTTTTTTCAAATTTCTTGACCTACAACTAAAGAAAGAGCTACAAAAAAGTTCACTCTTGCATGTTTCTTCCTAACAGCAGTAACTTGTACAGATAGTACTCACTGCTACTTTATAATCGCTTCATTAAAAGCCCAAGAATTTTCTGACATTTTTGTGGTCACAAAATATATATATATATATATATATATATATATATATATATATTAATCAACTCAGAAAGTCGTTTGCTTCTTCCAACTTCATTACAAAAATCTTACTAATCTAAACACTTCTAGATTAATTTTTTAGATTAGTTATTTTACCATTCTCTCCAGCACTCTCTGTACTCATTTTGTAACTTTGTTAAATAATAATGCAAAACAGAATTAGATTGCTTCACAGCACATGTTCCCAATGAGACTTCAAAATTCCTGAGAGCTACAATTCTGGGAATTCTCTTCAGGCAGTAAGTGTTAATAAACTTTTACAGACAACAATCATAGTTTAAGATGCACAAGGCTACTGATTGATCTGAATTCATTACTGCCCATACTGAAAGGATTTTAAATTTACTAATTTAAATTACTATTTAAAATCCACTTTATATTTGAAACTAATGCACCACTATCGAGACCAACTCATTCTGGGTGGTTATTTCTATTTAATGTTTTCTCTTTTATTTTCATTATTGTTTCATTGTTAAATATTTCATTATTAAATATTAAATAATAATATTTTATTATTAAATATTTTCCAGTCAATTTGGTTAGTGGTTACTAACTGAAACTATTTCACGCAAAACTGTAGAAATTGTATCTCAGGCTTATGAGGAATCTTTCTGTACTGGGAAAAAAGAAATAGCTGTAAGACACGTGACTTAAAACAAGATAATAAATGTCATTAATCTATGGGAAATCCGCACTTACCGATGCATAAAAAAATGGCTGAACTGGATATAATAATAACCTGACAAATATATTTACCTAAGATCATGTGGAGGAAAGCTACAGTCGAGATGACAAAGCAACTTTCCCACACAGTATTTCTCACAGTCAAACCTCAATTACTGAGGTAGAAAATTTTTACTTTACTTCTACTCACAAAACACAACAAGCTTTACCAAAATTGTTCACTGGTCTCCAAACTGTGTACTTTGCCACATGACAAACTCAGTCAGTGCAAGCTAAGTGAAGAACATCAAACTTTTAAATTTCCTATGAAAAAACAAGCTCAATTTTGATCACCTTTTCCCAAAAAAAAAGGTGTTCAGAAAAATACATTACGTAAACACAAACAAAAAGGGAGTTAGGGGATTATTATTTTCCGCCCCTTGCACAATTTTGTGAGTGCTCTCAGGTGCCATGAAACATGTAATGGATGAAGTGTAGTGGATGGCCACACTAGATATTGCCATGAAATGACATGAAGAAAACAATAAAGTATCATCAACTCAAGTGCTTACAGGCCACAAACAAATAAAGGAAGGCAATCTGATAAAGATGACAAATGACAAGTGCTCCCAAAAGTAGGGAGAAAATGTAAGATGGGAGTGTCCATTCACAATCTAAAAGCAATTTCTATGATCTTTGCCCAGCTGTCACACGCACACTCTAAAGTCCAAAATGTTATTCCACAAAGAAAGATGTTAAGCAGATTTTTTATGAGATTTTTTTAAACAAACGCTGGCAACCAATTCAGATGTAAAACACTATTAACCCAATAGTATGAATAGAACCAGACCACTGGGAAACAATTTACAACTTACAAGGTAGGGATTTTTGTAGCCAAAAGAATGATGGGAAGAGTACTGGCCAGAAAAGTAGACCCAAGACCAATTAAAATTCAGACTAAACAGGTGACATAAATCCGCCTGAAAGGTGTGACAAGTGGGCTCACTAACAAACACCCAGAAGAAGAGAAAAAGAGTGAGCGAGGAGCCGCGGGCAGAGGCAGCCCTAACTAGGAAAGCGCTTAGGAAGCACCAGGTGAGGACCGGGACGAGAACCATCATCACCACTGGCCACGGAAATCCGCGGCGCTTCAGCGACCGCGGGGCCGGGGCTGAGCCTGCTACCTGCAGCTGCGGGGGTCTCGGGGCCGCGGCCGCGGCCGGGGCCAGCAGGCACGGGGCCCCCGGACCTCTTCTCTCGCCCTCCTCCCGCGCTGCGCAGAGGGACGCCATTCCCCGGGGACGGGGCTGCAGCGGGCCGTCCTCGGGCACGGCCTCGGCCACCGGCCACCTGGCGCCAGGAAGCGTCCATCCTGTAAGGAAAAATAAAGTGGGAGGAGTGTGAGCGCGAGGGTCGGAGGACGAGGGCAGGTACAGAAGGGACACAGCGGGCGCGGGTCGCCGGAGTCCCCGAGGGACCCGGCGGGGGAGGGGAGGGAGGAGCGAGTCGCGGCCCGGCCTCGGCCTGGGGAGGGTCTCCGCGAGCCCCAAAGACAGGCGAGGAGGCGACTAGGAAGAGAAACAGACCGCAGGGCAGAGAGCACTTAGCGCCGGAGAGGAAGAGTCGGGAGAAGGGAAGCGCCTCTTCACCCTCGGGGCGCTTGAGGACAAGCGACCGGCTGACCCAGAGCCTCCCGTCTAGAACCCTCTGCCGTAGCGGACCTCACCGAAAGCTACGTCTCCTTACCGACGGCGCCTGCCCGCAGCGCCTACAATTCCCAGAAGCCCCTGCCCTCGGCCTGAAGAACGCGTGGCAGCGAAAGTACCTTCCTTATCCCGGAGGTGCCCCAGAAGGGCTGGGGGACTCTATGCGCGTGCGCAGACTGGACCCGTTTGCTTCCTACAGAACTACAATCCCCGAAAAGCTCTGCGGCTCCAGCGACGGCTTCTAGATAGCACGCGCGGTGGGGCGGTGCTCTTGATTCTTCTGCATTACTTCCGGAAAACTCCGAGGGGTGTCTGGGTGCGAGGATTTTGCCAGGTAGCCCTAGATGGCCGTTTGCTGTCTTTAAACTTGCTTGAGGTTTGCAGATGATTGATAGAGTCTCACTAGTTGGAAGAACAGGTGAAACAAAAACACTTCGAAGTGGGGAACTGTGAAGAAGAAAGGAAAGCTGGGGAAAGTTGCTGGATTTTACCCCAAATTGAAAAAGCGCTCTTCTGAATTGCTGGAATAATGCAGAAAATCTAACGCCTATCAGTATTGCAGTCCTTAATAACCATTAATTACAATGAGCTTTTCTTGAAGCTGGCCGATTTTTACTTTCAAGACGGCACCCTGCGGTAGATTTTATTAAGGAAAATAGCTCAAAACAAATACAAAATTTTTTGACTGTAGAATTTTCCAGTAAGTTAGATTTCAAAAATATATTTGGGGATCTGTTTGGAATTGAGAAATACATTAATTGTTGTTTTGAATAGTTCAATTATAAATAATATTTAGATAGCATGTATTGTCAGGTCCTGTTCAGTGTGTGATATATGTGTTAATTTAGTGCTTAATACTCCTTTAATGTCTCCATTTTACCCCTAAGAGCAGAGGTACAGAGAGATTTAAAAACTTGCCTGTAAGAAACACTGAAAGAACTGAAACCAAGGACGATAACTAGAACCAAGCTTGACACCTAGGAAGACTGATTTACTAGAAACCATGCCGTTAATCTCTTAAACGTACGTATTGCAGAATTACCTGTACATGAGCCAAACTGTAACATGTCCCCAAGGCTGTAATTTTTTTGAGTATGAACCAAGAGGTGCAGAGGAAAGAAAACCCAGGGAACAGTTGCAGAAAGGTAGTAAGTAGCTAGGTTTGAGAAAGTGCCCTTCTTTAAGTGCAGTGATTCACATAAGGCTGCACTAAGCTGCATGTAGCATTAAAAGTTTAGAAAGTCTAGTTATACTTTTCAACTGTGCAGTTCTCAGGTACAAGGAAGGAGTTGGTAATAGTCTGATAGAGAATACAGTGATTGTCACTAAGTAATATCCCAGTGGTATTGAGGGACTGCTAACAATAGAGCTTCTGCTTAGAACCATATGTACCAAAGATGTGGATGAGAATATGATCCAAGACTCTGCTAAACCTTCACGAAAACGAATTTCTACTTTTCTCTCAAATATTTAATAGTACTTTCTGTATACCTTCATTCTTCTAAGTCCTTTTTGCTTTTACATTTTAGTCTTAACAACAACTGATGGTGTAGCTATAGTTATTCAAACTATACTGAAAATTAGGAAATAAACTGAAAATTATTCAACATCCTAGCAAAGCCACGATTGCAACCTGGTAGTGTGACTCTTTGCTCATACTTTACCACCATTCTAATATGATGCTGGTGTAGCTGTATTTAACCTCTACCTTGTAGGGAGCGGCGGGACTGCCCCGCTGCTGTGTCCCCGCCTCTCCCTCATATGGGCACATAATGAGCCTACATTAACCATAATCCTCTCCTACTCACATCGCGTACATGGACGTGATGATGACCCATCAGAGATCACCCCACAGCCTCTTCCTGTCCCACGGGCCCACCCTTGCCCTATAAACGCTGTGACCACTTCCTCAATAAATGAGACTTGGTCAGACTTCCTCGACTTGTGTTTGTCTCTCTGTCTCCTGCACTGTCTGTTAATCCCTGTTCCTTCTCCAGGAAACTGCCCCGCCTTCTATATGCCTCACTTCTGCATATCAGATTTTCCCCCCATGTTTGGGAAATTTTCTTCTATTACTTTTGTGAATATTTTGGTTATGTCATTTGCATTGATTCCTGCATCTTCACTAATGCATATTAATCTTGTATTTTTTTCCCTTTGCATCTTGTTGGCATCATGTTGAAACTGCTGGATTGTCACTTCATGCTGCCTTGTTATTTTTAAAAGTGCTATCCTTTCATGATAACTAATTGCGATCCTGTCCTCAACGTCTGAATCCCTATCCTCAGCTTTATTTAAATGACCACTTTGAAAAGAATTTTTTATTGGATGTCTCTGAGTTTGTTTCATGAATTCTGCTTGTTTTTGATATTGCTCATTCAAGGTTTCAATCAGTTTCCCATGCTCCTGTACTTTTCTCTCTATTTCTTTTTTAGCTGTGCTCAGCAACTCCTTTACTAAGGTTATTTCTATCTTTACATGGGAGAATACTGCTAATTTGATTTCTTCTGTAGCCTCATGAAGTTTTTTTCTTATTTCACTCTCTATCTTCTCAGAGAGTTCCAGTGTGTTACTTTTGAATCCCTTTATTTCAGTGTCTCCTGTACATGCTTCTGGTGGACTAGATATTTGAGATTGCATTTTGCTTTTTTGTTTTGCCATTTTCCCCTTTCAAGTTAATATTTGGTCTTTCAGTCCCACTAGTGTCAACTGTTGGTAGTGTATATCTTGGGGTCCTAATGTGAGGTTGATGTTTGTCCAACTGCTGGGTCCCTCAATGAAGAGGTGGGCCAGTCACCTGACTTCCCACTACAGGGCCTGTTGGTTGAGTCCTATATTCTTCCTGGGCTGACAAGCCTAGTATTGATGTAGGTCAACTTTTAGTTTCTGCTATTACTTTGTCTTCAGGTTATTCCAGGTCACCAAATCTCCTTGTGTATAGTATTTGTGTTAGCTGAGGCCCTACTGTGTCCCTATTGTGTGCCTGTGTGTCTCATAAGGCCCCTTGGTTTTCTCCAAGTTGGGGGAGTCCTTATTGGCACACTCCTCACTCTGCCTGATGTTTTCTGTGTGCGGGAATGAGTCATCCACACTCTTATCAGACTCACCACAGTCTTGCAGTTAATTGGAGGGAGCTTTACTACTGGCCTATTTACCCAATGTGCACCTCTATCTTAGGGGCATCTCACCACATTGACTGGAGCCTGCAGCAATCTTACGTTTGGGTGAGGCAGTCACTGAATCTCCTCTCAAGCTAGCATAGTTAATCCATTGCAGTTGAAGGTTCTGGGAGAAAGGGTGGGAGTTCTGGCTGGAGTTCCCTGGCCTTGCAAGGTCATCTGTGGAGACAGTGGGAGTCACAGCATGGGCTGGGGTTTAGCCTGGCCCTGTGCACACCTGGCTGGAGTTCCAGGTGCCACGAGGTGGTTTACAGAGAAGGTGGAGTCACAGGAGAGGCCTGCATCTAGGCCAGGTCTGGCTGGAGTTCCCAGTGCTGCGAGGTGGTCTGTGGAGAAGCCATAAGACAGTCTTGAAAAATGTTTATTTGAGTTCAATTCCCAGTACAAAAGAAAAAGTTTGTAAACTGGATTGGTATATCAGTATATTTCTGAACAAATCCTGGGAAGATAAACTCACAGTTCAAATTGAGTTAAAGATACTGCCTACTGAAATATGATTATTTGCACGTATCTGTAAACTGGAGCCATATCTATGGGGCAATTTCACTCCCTTTGCATTTACTTAAGAATGTTTTATGAGCTAATGTATGATCTGTTTTGGAGAATGTCCCATGTGCAGTTGAGAATAATGTATATTCTCAAGTGGTTGGGTGGAACATTCTGTAAATATCCACTAAGTCCATTCACTCACAGGTATGATTCAGTTCTATTGTTTCTTTGTTGACATTTTGTCTGATTGATCTATCTCTTTTTGACTATAGGATATTAAGGTCTCCTACTACAATTGTGTTCTTGTGTATTTGGTTTTTCACGTCCATTAGTATTATCATTTATCATTTGAGGTTTGAAGTTCACTTTGTCTGCAAACAGAATACCTACTCTGGTTTTTTTCTGGGTTCTTTTGCATGGAATACTGTTTTCCATCCTTTGGGTTTTAATTTATGAGTTCCTTTTTGAGTCAGATGTGTTTCTTGTATACAGCATATTGTGGGGTCATGTTCCTTGATTTCTGTCAATCTGTTTCTTTTGACAGGTTGAGCCCATTTACAATTATGGCTATTCACAGAAGTAATAGCAGAAAATTTCCCAAACATGGGCAAAAAAATCTGATATACAAATAAATGAGGCATATATGGATTTATGGATCCATAATGGATCCACATTTATGGATATCACTGATATGTACTGACTTGACTTTGCCATGTTGTGTTCCTGTTGTTGATTTCCTGGTTTTTTTCCCCTTTTTAATTTCTTGTGCAGCATGGTGGTTTCTTCTGTTATTGTTATGGTTATTGTGGTCATTTTTATCTCTATCTAGCATGTCTTGCAGTACTCTTTCTAGGGTTGGTTTGCTGGACATGAATTCCTTCAGTTGTTCTTTGTCGTGGAAGTATGTTGTTTCTCCATTAAATTTGAAAGACAGTTTTTCTGGGTATCTCAGTCTGGGTTGAAAATTGTTTGCTTAAAAGACAAGGGCTTGAAATACTTCACTCTAAACTCATCTTAAACTGATGGTTTGTGCTGAAAAGTCTGCCGTGATTCTAATGGGCTTTCCTTGATAGGTGAGTTGTGTATTTTCTCTAACAGCTTTTAGTATTGTTTTTATGTTGTATGTCTGGGATCTTAATTATTATATGTCTGGGTGTAGATTTATGTTGGTTGTGACTGTTTGATGTTCTGTATGCCTCACTTATTTGTATATCAGATTTTCCCCCATGTTTGGGAAATTTTCTGCTATTCTGTGAATAGCTTAGTTATGTTCTTTGCATTATTTCCTGCATCTTCACTGATGCCTATTAGTTTCACATTGT